TGGGTAGTCTAGTGGTTAGTTAAATGTCTCACCCAAATGAAGACCGGGTTTGAATCCCCACATGGGTACAATGCATATGTATCGGTGAAGCCCATTTCTGGTGTCCCACTAATTGCATTTTGTTGATATGTTGCTGGAATATTGCTAAAAGTGGCGTAAAGCCAAACTCACACAGTCAGTCAGTAATCCCAAATATGACATATGTTACATTTGACCATGTTCTAAAATGGCATTGTGTAATCATTGTTTTAGACGGTTGATTCTGTACCTTTGTTTACACAAGAATGGCAATAATAGTGAATGAGTTTAATTTTATTCCACACTCAGCAATATTCCAGCTATATGGTGGCGATCTGTAAATATTCGAGTCTAGACCAGACAATCCAGTGATCAGCAGCATGAGCATCGATCTACGCAACAGGGATTGATGGCAATAATAACACGTGAAACATGTTCACAGTCTTATTCCAAAAAACGTGGAAGTTTCTATGTGCCATAAATTCAATAGACCTCTCAACATTACCAAAAATACGAAATTGTTTTCGATGGTTGATTCTGTATCTTTTATTACACAAGAATGACAATAATTACAAGTGATAGTCGCTCACAATATTTTTCATAATCCTTGGAGGTTTCTCTATGTGACATATATTCAAGGGTTTGATCTCAGCCAGCTCAAAACTGGATTGTGCAACACAGTGTGACTAAACTTTTACTTGGAATATGTAAAGGGGGATTAGTTATGGTCTGTGGGGCGGTGGGGTAGCCTAGTGGTTAAAGCGTTGGCTCGTCAGGCCGAAGACCCGGGTTCGATTCCCCACATGGGCACAATGTGTGAAGCCTATTTCTGGTGTCTTCCCGCTGTGATGTTGCTGGAATATTGCTAAAAGCGGCGTAAAAATAAACTCAGTCAGTCAGTCAGTCAGTCAGTCAGTCAGTCAGTTATGGTCTGTATCTCTACACCTCTCTGAGCATTACCAAAAATATGCCATTGTTTTAAAAGGTTACTGTGTTGACTGTGCATCTGTTATTACACAGGACTGGCAATTATGCCTTAGGGGCTCAGTAATTACACTGTTGGTGGTGAACAAGAAGATGTTAAATATGATAGGGAAGATGATAGGATGCTATTTTTGATCGTGCAGCTTGAGTGTTGTAATGTGCACCATCTTTTCTCCTAGCATCCATTAGCAGCTCCAACAACGACACCGATGTCGACTACTCCCTCTCTCTTCATTCACGGCCAGCATCTACACATGTGATGTAGGCTATATATAGGGTGTATAGCTGCAGTAATGACACACGCCTTCTTTAATCGTGTAGGACTGAACTGTTCCAGGTGTACATGGTCCTCTTCAGACCCATTTGAAAAATGTCAGATAACGATGGTTAATGAAAACATTTCGTAACAACTTGTTTTTACTGGCTTTGATGCTGCCGATTCAATCAGAGCTGCAGTTTAGCAACTAGGAGTTTGTTGATGTCCAGAGCAACATTTAAATGATCAAAACTCACATCAACGACACTTCTATGCGGTTTTATTGCATTGTTGGAAGGAGAAGGAATCAGCTTCTATAAACATCTCTATTTTCGTACTCAGGCTATTGCTCACTGCTGCAAAAGTGCTGATGCAGCTTTGAAAAATACTCACTCACTCACTCACTCACTCTGATTGAGTTCAGTTTTTACGCCGGTTTTAGCAATATTCCACCACCATGGCGGGGGCCACCAGAAATGGGCTTCACACATTGTACCCATGTGGGGATTCGAACCCAGGTCTTTGGCGTTACAAGCAAATGCTTTAACCACTAGGCTACCCGATCGCCTCGCCCCCCCACTCACTCAGTGATTTGGTTTGCATTAGAATCCTGAATAATGATTTGTTAGTCATACACTGAGACTGACCCAGGTTTTTACGCAACGCGAAAATGTGCGTCCAGCATGCACAAATGTAGAGAATCGACGTGGAAAAAAAATTCACATGTATGAATTTGCTAAGTGTTTGGATGTTTCTTTCAGAGCAGTAACTTGCATCATTTCATCTATATCAGTCCACATGATCAATGATTGATTCCGGGCTCCAAAAAAAGTATCAAAACATAGAGTTCTCCAAACTGTTACTTCAAAGGACCCTCGTATTGCCTGCAAGGACTCTTAAAACTAAAAATTAGAGGTCCCCTGGACCCTCGTGTTTGTGGGTCCAGGTAAAAAACCCTGCTGACCCATCAGAAAATCCAAAATGAAGCACAATCGGTTTTCCTGACCAATTGTTAGACCTTATAAGCTGATCTTTAGGTATTAAACATTTCAGCTTTCTGGAAAGTGTAGTTTGAAATAGATTGTTTCTACACAGCAATCATCGATCATGCACAGATTACAGTTTGAATGACTAGAAAACAAGAAGGACAGAAACATGTTAACAGAATAGTTAGAAAATGCATCCAGAACCATTGGTAAACATGACTGGCAAAAAGGATTTGAAGTGGATGACTACTATTCCCTTGATTGTGAGGAAGTAAACTGTAGTGATAACGAGTTGCATGTGTGACTAGCAGGGTGGATGAGATTTAGCAAGTTGTATCGACTATCATTGTGGTTCAAATTTATCATAGCCTAACCATTCTGTAGGTTTAACCAAAGTGGTGAATGTCTAGAAGTTGTATGCCTTCTTACTGTCCTCGGGGGTAGCCTAATGGTTAAAGCGTTCGCTCCTCACGCCAAAGACCCGGGTTCGATTCCTCACATGGGTTCAATGTGTGAAGCCCATTTCTGGTGTCCCCCTGCCGTGATATTCCTGGAATATTGCTGAAAGCGGCGTAAAACCATACTCACTCACTCCATTTAAGCTAGCTAGCTTCATTTTTTAGCTCACTCACTCACTCACTCACTCACTCACTCACTCACTCACTCACTCACTCCACTCACTCACTCACTCACTCACTCACTCACTCACTCACTCACCCACTCACTCACTCACAGTATACTGTGCCTGTTTAAATACAAGGTCACTAAAATGAGGAGCCAGTGTTTGACCTTGATGCCAGTCAACCTGCCCTTATTGGATGGATTATAACTGTAAACCTGCCCTGATTGGATGGATTATAACTGTCAACACTGGTTTGATCTACGTCATCTACATATAGCTATAACACAGACACTGACCGAGGCAAAGAACATTCTGTCAGATTCAGCACACTCTATAGAAAGAAATATATCATTCCCGATTGAATTGCTACTGTAGTGATTATCACTAGTCCATATAAAGAAAAATCTTTTCCTATTCAACAATGCTTCTGTCGACCTTTGCTCAGAGCATTAAACCGATGAACAATCGAGGGTTTAGGAAATTATTATCGTCTAATAAGAGGATGGACAAGATAAGAAAGGAATCGAAGACCTCTCGGAACATAAATCAGTTTCCATGATAGGAAAATCAATAAGCTTGAACAATGAAGTTTGCTTGAAAAAACGGCAGGACTGCCCCAGACCTGGAACTTGGATTATGATTTGGAGTAGATTTCTGAGGCATTTGTGGGTATTAAAAATTCTAGTGAATACTCCACAACATTTTTAAAAAATCAACAACTTGAGCATTAAGATGGAACACAATTGATGAACATACCACCCTCTTTATTGTTTTCATCATTATTCTTTCGATCATCTTGTCATAGCTTACCAATGGAAACTGGAAGAAGGAATATACCATTCTTAAATGAGCATTATGGAAATTGTAAATTAGTTAACATGATTATAAGAATGGCAATTCTCTGTTCAGAAGAAATTATGTAAAATTAATAACATAATGAAAATCTCAGTCATCGCTCCAAATACTCGATGGAATTTTGTTAACATAATGAAAATCACTGTCATTGCTCAAAAGAATCAATGTTTATCATAGGGTTAGGAATGTCGAAGCACTGCCAACGTTTTGTTGCTCGGGCTCTGTATACTAGGCAAAAATATATTCATGTCCTTAATGGGTACTTTGAGTTGGAACCCTTTAAGATCCGGGTCAGAATTGATCTTCATGAGCGTGATGTTGATCACAGAATAATTTTATTGTCTGGCCAGACTCGATTATTTACAGATGGCCGCCATATAGCTGGAATGTTGCTGAGTGCAGAGTAAAACTAAACTCACTCACTGACTAGGACATGGATCTGTACAGTCTTGCAAATTCTGAATATGTTCCTTACAACTACAGTCTCTGGGGTGGAGATGTATGTTAAATATATCAACATACATTCCAAATCACTATAGACTCCTTGATATTCATTATTGCCCAAGTCAGTTAGTAATCCACTCTCTTTATTAGCATGTCAAGAAATCTAAGTTCTAATCATAATCACCTAAGCTGTCATGGTATAAGCTTATAACTAAGTCAAATCCCAGTCATAATCCCAACCGGTAATCTAAACCAGTGCCCTATGTGTTATAGACCATCAGGGGCGGTGGGGTAGCCCAGTGGTTAAAGTGGTCGCTCATCACACCAAAGACCCGGGTTCGATTCCCCACATAGGTACAATGTGTGAAGCCCATTTCTGTTGTCCCCCGCCGTGATATTGCTGGAATATTGCTAAAAGCAGCGTAAAACTAAACTCAGTCAGTCAGTTGTCCCTCACCCTGATATTGGTGGTGGGGTAGCCTAGTCATCATGCCTAGGACCTGGACCGCCCGTGAAGATCCGGGTTAGAATATTGATCTTCAGTAACCCATGCTTGTCGTAGGAAGCGACTAACGGGATCGGGTGGTCAGGCTCGCTGACTCGGTTGACACATGTCATCGTTTCCCAATTGCTCAGATCGATGCTCATGCTTTGATCACTGGATTGTCTGGTCCAGACTCGATTATTTACAGACCACCGCCATATAACTGTAATGTTGCTGAGCGTAAAACTAAACTCACTGACTTACTAGGGCGTGGATTTGATTCCCCACATGGGTACAATGGCAGATTCAGTTTCCTTAGATGTGTCTACTTGATTTGTTCTTTTGTTTCAGAAATACATGGTCCCACTGAAGACACAGAGTAGCCTAGATGATACAATAGTGGACAATATATTCTACATGATACCAGAGATTCTCACACATCACTCTATTTATCTGGATTTCTTGGACAACGTGTGGAAGCACTGGGACACGGCCAACAGCACAGTGGGAAACATCATCACATATATTGTAAGTAGCTGGAGGATACTACTACTTCCTCATGTCAGAGGTGCTGACATCTCACCATGCTTGTCCCACGTTTAGTGTTAATAGTTGCTGGAAAGTACAACTTCAATCCGTCTGGTTTAGTATTAATAGTTGTTGGAAAGTACAACCTCAGTCCATCTGGTTTAGTATTAATAGTTGTTGGAAAGTACAACCTCAGTCCATCTGGTTTAGTATTAATAGTTGTTGGAAAGTACAACCTCAGTCCATCTGGTTTAGTATTAATAGTTGTTGGAAAGTACAACCTCAGTCCATCTGGTTTAGTATTAATAGTTGTTGGAAAGTACAACCTCAGTCTATCTGGTGTAGTAATAATAGTTGCTGGAATGCACAACCTCAGTCTGACTGGTTTAGTATTAATAGTTGTTGGAAAGTACAACATCAGCCCATCTGGTTTAGTATTAATGGTTGTTGGGAAATATAACCACAGTTCATCTAGTTTAGTGTTAAATGTTGTTGGAAAGTGCAACCGTCTTTGTACAATGTAGGAAGACCATTTCTGGTGTCCCGAATTTTTTTCATGATGTACAACCCCCCAAATCCAACTTTAATCATGTTTGTTGGTGTGTAACTTTATCATGCTTGTGATTAAGATATTTTTCACTTCACTTTCAATTTTTATGCATTTGTATTTGTAATACTGGAATATAATGATCTTTTATCTGTCCATGAGTTATTTCCAGAAACTGCATCATCCGATGACTTTGCAGTGTCAGTCTGGGTCATACCAGAAGCAATCATAGACCACTGTCACAAAATTGTTACTCTTTGACTATTTTAGCTCCAGGGTTTTACATGACGAGCGATTCCTGAGTATTTGACGCAACTATTTTGTAAAAGATTCTCAAAATATTATCATACGAGTCAAGCTTGACGCAAGTTTTATAAGTGACCCCCGAATTCAGTTCAATAAAATTGATTTGATAAGCAAACAATGATAGTTTTCATGAGGTCTTTATTAATTTAGATATTTCTTTCAATTCATGTTAATAACTGTATGCTACAGTGAATAAATCACAAGCATGATGATTTGAACTGTGAAAAATATACTATTTATTAACTTCCGGTAACATTTAAATGGCAATACAATACAAAACAACAAAATCTCTGCTAAACTCTTGATATACACAAATAAATATTACACTAAAATTTCATGACTCCCAAACATTGAAAATGATCCCCAAAATAAATACTGTGAGTCACCATGACTTTCTTTTTTCAAAGTCTGTGTAAACCCTGTAGCTCCCATACAGAGATGGTAGCCATAGCACTAAGGTCACTTTGTTCAAGTGTGAATTGGACCAGAATTATGTCCATATTGTTTCTTACAAACTGTGAGAGTGATGACAAGGCTACCCAGTGCAGACAAAATTGGCTCATCTATCTGAGGACCCATTAACTGTGTGAAGCACTGCAGCCTTGATATTGGTGGAATATTGCTAAAAGAACTATGAAACCTAACTTGGTCCCTTCAAACACTGTTGTGATAAAGGGCGATGGGGTAGCCTAGTGGTTGAAGCATTCGCTCGTCACGCCGAAAACCTGGGTTCGATTCCTCACGTGGGTACAATGTGTGAAGCCTATTTCTGGTGTCCCCCATCATGATATTGCAGCATAAACCCATACTCACTGTTACGATAAATGTCAGGGATCTGTCACTCAGGGTGCATGCTATAAACAACATGGTTTCCCACCAGGTATGGATGCCACAATGAAACTGACATACCATTCTCTGTCAAGGCATGTTGTCAGAATAATTGTTTATCTTTTGGAACAGTTGCTGCATTTTTTCCATTTTGTTTATTGCATTTTGCTTATCAAATGTTTTATTTCAGTTTTCAAAACAGACTGTGTTAGAGAGCTATTTATCATTTGTGGAGAACTACCGGTTGTCTGGAAAGGTTATAGAGAACGCCCTCACCAATAAGTCCTCAGTACAGAAGTTTGTAGAGGTAAGTATATGTACCAACATGTCTCTCTGTGAATTAGGCGATAGCTTTCTGGAGGAAATGTAGTTAAGTGATGGTAAAAGTCCAGTATCCACCCTTACCAAACTAACTTCAGTGACTAGCCACCAGGGACTAAATTACCCTTACCAATTCAGTTAGATTTCACCTTTCACATCACTTGCATGTGTTTCAATGGCTCTGCCCAGTAAAGATGATCTGATTAATAATTAAGATCTTTATTATGATATCAAAGCAGGTCTTTCCACTTCAAGTGCGTCAAATCATTTGATCACTTTGATGAAAAATATGACATGATTTGGCGAATATCTGTCAATGCTCAGCTGATGATATAAATATTCTGAAAATCCTGCAATTGACCAAACTCTGATTAAAGTATGCATAGACTTGTTAGTCCAGCCATAATATATCTACCAGTGAAGACTTGGGTAGAATTGATCTTCAGTAACCCATGCTTGTCATAAGAGGCGACTAACAGGATCGGGAAGTCAGACTCGTTGACTTGGTTGACACATGTCATATCCCAATTGCGTAGATTGATGCTCATGCCGTTGATCACCAGATTGTCTGATCCACACTCAATTATTTACCAACCACCACCATATAGCTGGAACATTGTTGAGTGCTACTTGAAACAAGAAACCGAACCAAACCATAATGTATCAATGTAATTCCATAATTCCAGGGGCGGTGAGGTAGCCTAGTGGTTAAAGCGTTGGCTCGTCACGCCGAAGACCCGGGTTCGAATCCCCACATGGGTACAATGTGTGAAGCCCATTTCTGGTGTCCCCCGCCGTGATGTTGCTGGAATATTGCTAAAAGCGGCGTAAAACCAAACTCAGTCAGTCAGTCCATAATTCCAGCCAGTTTGGCAAGAATGGAAGCTGTCGTTACCTCCCTTGCCTTGGGAAGATGCCAACTGCTGTGCTCAAGAAACCAATTCCAGTCTAAGTTTATCCCGTGGGAATTCTGGGATAGAATCAGTGACCATTGATCTATGCTTGCTGTAAGAGGTAGCCTCAAATGAATAAACTGGTCAGACGAGGTTGATGAAGTACCATAGTATTCTGATTTCATGGCTCATTGCTCAGCCAGAATATCTGCAACCAGGTTGTCTGGTCCAGACTTGATTGCCTGACCATTGTGACATACTGTTGGCTTCAGTGTTAAACAACACTCACTAGACATTGTGTGTTTGTTTGTTTGTCGTTTAACCTTTTACTCAGCAATATTCAATTATCCACATGGGTACATTGACTAACGAAATCAGGTGGTCAGGCACGCCAACTTGGTTGACACATGTCATTGCATCCCATTTGCATAGATCGATGCTCATGCTGTTGATCACTGGATTGTCTAGTTCAGACTCGATTAGTTACAGACCGTCACCATATAGGTGGAATATTGCTGAGTGCAGTGTTAAACAAACCAACCAATATTGTATGAAGCACATTTCTGGTGTCAGCTGTGATATTGCTGGGTTGTTGCTAAAAGTGGCATAAAATCACTCTCATTCACTCCATTTCCCGCAGATCCTGTTCAATTAAAATGTAGCTGCCTGTTTCTATATTTGTTTTACATATAAACATTATTCTACAATTTGTATACAGTTTTCTTTTAATTGATCAATTGAATGAAAAAAAATAAACAATGGAATACAATATTTCAGAAGAATGTTCTGTGTTTCGGGTAAATGCTTTCCCCGCCGTGATGTTGCAGGAATATTGCTAAAAGTGGCGTAAAACCAAACTCAGTCAGTCAGTCAGTCGGGTAAATGCTCAGTATCAACAATTTTTAATGCTGAAATATCTCACTTTGAAGCACGTGTCATCATCTTCAGGATATATACAACATTTGTCAAGCACATTCCAGCCTTTCAGTTCATTGCCTTACTTCTTGCCATGAGTATACTACATGGAACCCTGCACTTCGAACATGGGACCCAACACACCTTGGCAGTGTGTTCTTAGTCCTGACTGAGCAAACCTTCATTAGATGAAATCCTTCAACGTGTAAGAGTTTGTTGTAGCAAACGATCACAGTGCTGTGATGTTGTTGTTTGCGCTGATGTTTGTGATGTTGATGTTGTTTGTATTGGTTGCAGCAATGTCAGCGAGACAGTGGCAGCAAGCTGTCGATGAAGGACCTTATTGTCCGTCCCATCCAGAGGATTCCTCGTTATGAACTGCTGATACAGGTAAGCTATCACCATCATCATGGGTAACTTCTGAATTCGTCACTGTACAACAGGTTTTGTTGTCTGTCACACGCACTGTTTAATGTCAGCTATAGAAGAAGTTGGAGGAGGCTGACATCGAAACCATCACTAGACGTGGTGCTGTGTGGTCCAGTGCGTAGAGCTCAGGTCACGAATCAGTTGAAGTTAAGCAATGTCGAGCTCGGACAGTCCGTGACCGTGTTTGGCAGCTTGACTCCTGAGAGTGTCTCGGACTTCAGTCCTGCCCCACAATGAAGCACTTGTGATACATGTGGTCTCACCTTAGGCTAGTGAGTTCATTCAAAATAGCCTCTGTTCACCCAGCAGAAAATGGGTACCCGGTTGGATAAAGTCATGTGACTATAACCTTCTAGTGCCTAACAGGCAGCTTGAGTTATCTGGTGTAATAATAATCAGATTCTGATTACAGCGTCTAGTGAGCAACAAGTCAGATGGATACTAGTCGCTATATAAATGAATTATTATTATTTATATTATTATAGACAGTTTGAATGTCAACAGTGATTCAGGTTATAACTTTATAAAGTTTATTGCTGACATTTTGATGTGAAATGAGCAGATCATGTAGAGGATACCATACCTTATACAGAGCCTTCCTACACAGATTAGAAGGTAGAAATGTTATCCAGTGTACTACAGGATATCTTGTGAAGTCAGATTTGATACTGATGCTGACCTTAGATGTATGACACAAGCCATGATGATGGGAAACATGATGAGTCCTCGATCACAGCAAATCAAACTTCATGTCCATGACAACAGTTTCACATTTGTTATTATTTATCCATGTGAATTTTAGGTACAGATGCTGAGACCTTTATTATTTGCTTGAGAAAGGTATGAGAACCTGCACTCAAACATCAGATTTAAAAAGTATAAACATTGAAATCCATTTGTCAAATTTGTCTTCATTGGTACTACAACATCTAAATGTCACTTAAAGATTTGGAAGGTTCTTGTGCAGCAAAGATATTTATTATTTTGCACAAAAGTTTTAACATGAGTTTTGGGGACTAGTTGAGTGGTCAGAAAGGTGAAGAGTTTAAATCCATTTGTCTTCATTGGTATTACAACTTCTATATGTCATTTAAAGATTTGGAAAGTTCTTCTGCAGTAAATGTATTATTTTTTAGAACAAAAGTTTCCTTTTACAAATATTTTTGTAGTCATGAGTTTTGTTGACTAGTTGTGTGGTCAATAGTACGAGGCCAGCTACACTACTAGACTTTACACAAGTATTTCATGTGTACTTATCATGTCAGGTTGATGCTTGTTGAAATGATGCTATGTTTCCGAGAAGTGTGGGAAGTATATAACAGTTTAGACAGGGGACATATAGCAGCAAGCGGGAATGTTCACACACTGTTTACTGAGTAAACATGCATTCATCGATTCCCTTGCTGGCTGCCATTTTGTCTTTGTGTCTACTGATATCTTCCAATAGTGCAATATTGGGCAGAACGAGGCTCACTTCTTCAACATTCATCCAAAAGAGTGTGTAAATGTCACAGTTTTGAGACTTTGCATTTGTAAGTGGTCTGCCCTTTTTGAGAGCAGGATCTGTTTACATTATGAAATTTTTGTAAATATAAAAACTGGAACTATAACTGATCGAATGATAAAGTGTTTCACATTGACACACAAAGTGTTTACTTGAATCGAAATCAGGAAATATTTCTTGACAGAGATTTCAAATAAATTGGAAACATGTAAGAGTTTTGGGTTAATGAGAAATATGGAATGTTTGAACTTTTCCTTTAAGCTATCCCACAATGATCCTTATCAGTAATTTAGTCTGTCACAACAGTATCTTAATTAAGAATGCTGCATATTTACCTTTTACTGCTGTGATTGAAGACAGGCCTGATACATATAGATGACATTTTAAGTATTAATTACCTGTGCTGTGTCAGTATGGATTCTGCTCCATCTTTTGTTTAACAATCTATAGGTTGTTTTATATTATTTATTTAATGCAGCTAGATCTTTAATGATTCTCTGGATTTTCAGTGTATCACAAAATATTTCATCCTAACTGTGTCAGGATAGTATTGTGTTAAAGGTCAGGTGTCTTCAGGAACAATACTTGTACATGGAGAACACCTTTTTAATATAAACAATAAATGATAGTTTTTTGTATGTGGCAGCGTTTTCAGGCCAGGATTAGTTTATTTGCTTCCTAATAAGGTCCATGGGGACACAGTTGTGTAATTTGCAGTTGCAGAGTTATGTGCCTTGGTTGTGCTAGGATCTGATGATTTTGGTTCGAATATCGGATTGTCCAATCAGAAATTCTGCTGTGTCATTATCATACTCATGTTTATGGGATTCACAGAATTGGAAACCATCTTGGACCTCATGTCTGGACAACTCATCAGGCTTTTTTAAAATATTCGGTTTACACACAAAACATCTGATATATTCAATGATATATTTTTTTCCTGGTTCATGTTTATATATGTGTCATCTTGAAAATAGAAGTTATATTTCCTCCTGTTGTATACTTAATACTTCTGCTAACGTGCCAAAGTTTCATGTATACAGTTGAGACTGAAGTTCAGGCATGTTTCGCTTTCTGTCTCAAGTTTCACTGTCAGCTTTGCAGGAAAATGAAATTTCTTGAGGTCAACATCAAGTATTATATGAAGTTAGTATTATTTACTATGTTATTTAAGGGCAGTGGGATAGCCTAGAGGTTAAAACATTTGTTCATCATGCATCATGATGCCCCATGTGGGTACTATGTGTCAAGCCCATTTCTTGTGTCCCCTGCAATGGTTGTGCCAGAATATTTCCAAAAGCAGCGTAAAACCCATCTCACTCACTATAGTGTGGATTGAAAGGCTGATCCTATCTTGTAGCCTGGCATTAGTTTAGTGGACCTATTGACAAATGTTTCCACACAATGTTTCAACTTTTAATTGATATAACCTGGTCCTCTTCATTGCCCTCTAATGTGGCTCTCAGTTTCACCGAAGTGGTGAGTGCCAAACACATGGTCATGGGTTTCACCGAAGTGGTGAGTGCCAAACACATGGTCATGGGTTTCACCGAAGTGGTGAGTGCCAAACACATGGTCATGGGTTTCACTGAAGTGGTGAGTGCCAAACACATGGTCATGGGTTTCACCGAAGTGGTGAGTACCAAACACATGGTCATGGGTTTCACTGAAGTGGTGAGTGCCAAACACATGGTCATGGGTTTCACCGACGTGGTGAGTGCCAAACACATGGTCATGGTTTTCACCGATGTAGTGAGTGCCAAACACATGGTCATGGGTTTCACCGACGTTGTGAGTACCAAACACATTGTCATTGTTTTCACCGACATGGTGAGTACCAAACACATGGTCATGGGTTTCACCGAAGTGGTGAGTACCAAACACATTGTCATGGGTTTCACCGAAGTGGTGAGTGCCAAACACATGGTCATGGGTTTCACCGAAGTGGTGAGTGCCAAACACATGGTCATGGGTTTCACTGAAGTGGTGAGTGCCAAACACATGGTCATGGGTTTCACCAAAGTGGTGAGTGCCAAACACATGGTCATGGGTTTCACCGAAGTGGTGAGTGCCAAACACATGGTCATGGGTTTCACCAAAGTGGTGAGTACCAAACACGTTGTCATGGGTTACACTCAAGTGGTGAGTGCCAAACACATGGTCATGGGTTTCACTGAAGTGATGAGTGCCAAACACATTGTCATGGGTTTCACAGAAGCTGTGAGTACCAATACATGGTCATGGGTTTCACAGAAGCTGTGAGTACCAAACACATGGTCATGGGTTTCAAACACATGGTCATGGGTTTCACGGAAGTGGTGAGTGCCAAATACGTGGTCATGGGTTTCACCAAAGTGGTGAGTGTCAAACACATGGTCATGGGTTTCACAGAAGCTGTGAGTACCAAACACATTGTCATGGTTGTCACCGAAGTGGTGAGTACCAAACACATGGTCATGGGTTTCACCGAAGTGGTGAGTGCCAAATACGTGGTCATGGGTTTCACCAAAGTGGTGAGTGTCAAACACATGGTCATGGGTTTCACAAAAGCTGTGAGTACCAAACACATTGTCATGGTTTTCACCAAAGTGGTGAGTGCCAAACCCATGGTCATGGGTTTCACCGGCGTGGTGAGTGCCAAACACATGGTCATTGGTTTCACTGATAAGGTGAGTACCAAGCACATGGTCATGGGTTTCACCGACGTGGTGAGTGCCAAACACATGGTCATGGGTTTCACCAAAGTGGTGAGTACCAAACACATTGTCATTGTTTTCACCGACATGGTGAGTACCAAACACATTGTCATTGTTTTCACCGACGTGGTGAGTACCAAACACATGGTCATGGGTTTCACCGAAGTGGTGAGTGCCAAACACATGGTCATGGGTTTCACTGAAGTGAGCTGAAATACTGTTTAAGATGACACTACGTACAACTTACACAGTCATTCAGTTAAAAGACCATGTGTGAATTGCAACCACTACTACAGGCTACTACTACTACTACAAAATGAGAAGGGAAAGCCAAGTTGTCAAAGCATTGGCTTTCCATGGCCAACACACAAGTTTGATTCCCTACAGTCATATTGTTATTGTGTGCCTACTGTGAATGTGTGCCTACTGTGACTTGGCTGCAATATTGCTAAATGTAGCATGAAGTTGTACTTACCATCTCACTCATACATGATAAATACTAGCAGTAAAGTTGAGGGTTTGTTTTAAGTTTTCTCCTCTGTTTGCAGCGTCTTCTGGAGAACACTCCACGTGACCACCCCGACTTCCCCCTGCTCCAGCAGGCGGACAAAGTGATGCATGATCTGGCCATGCGTATCGGCAACCTCAACGACAGTCAGCATGAAGAAGACATGCAGGAATCTCTGAAGAAGCTGGAGCTCCTTCTCATTACTGATGTAAGTAAAGATGTTTTGGTTCAGTCGGGGTTTGGTGGGGTTAATAGTGGCAGTGTTGCTTGTGTCGAGCATTCGTGGAATCAAAATTTGGTTTAGTCAGTTATTGGGTTCTGTTGGCAAAGTTTTCAGGGCATTGATAATTTTCAGAGGATGTACAGAGCATAGTCTTGGAGGCATGGGTTGTCATTCTACAGCATGTATTATTATGTAAATAATGTTCTTGGTCCTTTGTTTCCAGCTGGCAGTCCCAGACAGAACGTACATCAGACATGACATGGTGCAGATCATTGTGAGTTGGTTTGACATTAATATACTTTCATGATCTATGGGGAAAGTTGACTTTTTGGTTCAAATGTTTTGCAACTATTTTATATTTGTAACTGTGATTGTTTAGAAGAGCATATTTTCAGTAATAATGTCAAGGTCAAATTTTACAGTGTCCCTCCAGGGATGTTTTGTTGGTATACAGCACCATACATTTGCTACTGGGTCTACAACCTCTTGCTACTCTTCAATGTGTGAAGCCCTTTTCTGGTGTCCCCCACCATGTTATTGCTGGAATATTGCTAAAAGTTTCGTAAAACAATACTCACTCACTCACTCTTGCTAGTCTTCCAGATTTAGTTGTATTGCTAAAATACTCTCTAAAGGAGCATTTATACCAACTCACTGACTGTTGAACGACCAATATGTTCCAGGCCAAGAAGGACCAATGCTGTATGTGGTTGTTCTCTGACCTGATGATCTTCAGTTCCATCAAGAGGAAGAGTGGACCTGTCACACGCAAAGTCTCCATTATTCTGTAAGTGTTGCATACAGGAATGCAAGGTAGTGGTGCAGAGGGTGTACACACCCCACCTCCCCTCTTTTAAGCATACTTATCATGTTGGTGTATCAAAATATACAGCTGAATGTTTTGGTGACATGTTTCTACAAGAGTAACTTTTATTTGACTAATTTTTGACTTAGAAAAGAAGACTGTTTCCTGAATAAATTCTATGCTTCCTGCAAGGATTAGTTTATACAAAGCTCTAACCTTTGAAGATATGACCACCTCAGATTCCAGTAAACCATTAACGTGAAGGAATCTTCTCAAATAAATCAAATTCCGTTTGACACCATTGTTATATTTTTCATAATTTTGAATTTTTATAAATATTTTCTGATACCTGCATTTGACACCTTTGTTAATTCATTTATGTATGAGAACAGGATGCTAGTTTATCATCTGTATTTCCAGGAAATCCCCTGCCGGTCAGGATTTTGCAGAGAATATAAAGCATAAAGTGTGGCTGAGGATTGGATTGGATGACATTGAAATATTCAAGAGTAAGTTCACTGGTGCAGTATGTTCAAGGACTCTCCTGCGCGATCCCAAAATATGACTTCACTAGACTGGACCAAGTGTACTACCACGCTTGGCTGCACAGCTGTTGGCAGATATACACGTGCTATTCATGCGACAAAGTCCAAGTGTTTTTGTAACCTGTTGCATGTCATAGTTTCCTGAGTCACACAGCGTGTGTCGAGAACGATTAGCCAGGACATGCCCTTGTAACAGTGTTATCGCCATTGCCGTAAAACACTGTCACCGAAAGTGCTAAAGTCTCGTAAAGTGCCGTGACCTAGTAACTTACAGGCCCTATTCTTACCTGATCTCAAGGCTTTGATGCTAATATACATCAGGCTAGAAGGACTAGCCATAGCTAGTAGTCAAATGTTTTGTCTTACTTCTCTAGTTTAGTTTTAGATATAAGTATCTAGGATTGTAACTGTAGTTTGAGAGCGTGCTCACTTAGTCTTCCTAATGGCTGTAACAGCTGGTATTTGTATTGTCATTTTGTTTTGATAGCCCAGGGTTCTCTGACCCGGAAGGCAACACTAGACCGGGACCAGGTGGAGGATGATTTGCACCTGGTCACGCAGATGACAGAGCTGACTAACAAGATGGCATTCCCACACCAGGTGAGCCATGGGCAAGGGGAGGTAACTCTCAGACAACATTGGACTTCAGTGACTCTATTCCCTGTATGTCTGAAACTGCTCAAAAGTATTTTGACCTTTCATTTCTGTGTCAATGCTGGTACAAAATATCACTTAGATGTCATCTCCCCTCCCAATGGTTGGTCCTTATTTGTGTTAATGAATGATTGTTTCAGTGTCTGTACCTGTTTCATGTTGTAGGCGCTGGATGATGCACTGAAGGAGATGTCAACGTCACTGTTAAAGCAGCTCTCTGAATGTCATATTCGCAGCCCCACATCAGAGTCCAACAAGCTGGAGCTTCTAGTCACAACACAGTCAGTGTAGTCTCTTATTGTTTGGGGGATAGTGGGGGATGGGGTTGCTTTGTGTGCTAGGGAGCGCAGTGCTCCAGGATGCAGATTTGCATCTTTCAGTCAGTCTATTCTCTTATGCTCTTAGGGATAGAATTGATCTTCAGCAACCCATGCTTGTCGTAAGAGGCGATTAACGGGATCGGGTGGTCAGGCTCGCTGACTTGATTGGCACATGTCATCGTATCCCAATTGCTTAGATCGATGCTCATGTTGATCACTGGATTGTCTGGTCTAGATCCGATTATTGACAGACCGCCGCCATATAATATTGCTGAGTGCGGCGTAAAACTATACTCACTCACTTTATGCTCTTATACTTGTGGGAGTACTGGGAAGGGGTGGTGCTGGTGGTAGGGTTAGGGGATGCTTGGGAGCACAGTGGTCCATCTCTTAGAGACGTTAGAGCCATTAAATATCGAGGTTATGCTCATGATGATCCTTGTTTCGTCAGCAATATACCCGTGATCATGAGCTCCATCCAGTGATAAATGTCTGCAGTCCCTCTGTAGTCCCAAGGATACAACACTCTGGATGTTACTGAAATGCAATTCATATTGGCCTATTTACCAGTCCATTTATTCATTCCATGACCAATAATGGACTACGTCTTCCTCATTTGCTAATAAAAGATTGGATAGTGTTCCATTGTTGTGCTGAAAGATGCCACTGATTTCATTTTGTTTGACTATGTATTTTTTCTGTATAAATGATCAAATTAGCAGTCTGTGAACTTACTGTTTTTGACATATTGTTAAAAATTGTATTTTTTTCGTATCTGAAGAAGTATTAATGTGTAAAACTGGTGTGCATACTGTGTAAATCTGGTAATCTTTGCAGTAATACCCTTTAAGTGGTTGAGTAGTGTCACTGTTTATGTTCACAAGCATGTTGTTGTACTTTCAGAGAGGGAGTCCACCAGTTTGTGGTGGTGTTCCCCTCTACTGAGAAGAGGATAACATGGGAAGCAGCCTTTACAGATGCCAAAACCAAACTCTGTACGTCTATCACTATCTCCATGATGTTATTATAAATATTCATATATTATGAAGAAATATTAGGAAAATTGGAACAAAATAATATTCTCAGGATGACAACAGGAAAACCCAGTGAAGATCCCGGTTGGAATTGGTCTTCAGTGACCCATGCTTGTCATAAGAGGCGACTAACGGGATCGGGTGGTCAGGCTCGCCGACTTTGTTGACACCTGTCATCGCATCCCAATATTGTGTAGATCGAGCTCATGCTGTTGATCACTGGTCCAGACCGCCGCCGCCATATAGCTGGAATATTGCTGAGTGCAGCGTTAAGCAAGAAACAAACAAATCAATAGGAAAATATTCTTTTAATATGAACTTGAATTGAAAATATTCTTAAAATGTAAACTTTAAGATTTTCTGATCATATGAATTGGAAAAATTATAGATTTTTTTTATCAAATTTAAACAAATGCATTGGTTTACCACCCCAAGATCATGATTTAATAAATCAGTAAATTTGTAAATAGTAAATTTGCTGACTGTACAGTAGTACCATGTATATATAAAAGCCTACATTTGTGTCCTGACATAAATTGCGCAGAGATGCTTTTGTATTTGACATTTGGTGTTTGTTTTCCAGCGTTATTGTCAGACAAGCGAGCACCTGAGTTCTTACAACCTCTACAGATAACTAAAACGCGTGCTGGCATGCAGGTGAGTCCCCACGTTGTCATACGAGCTACTCATGTTTAACTTGTCTCCTCCTTCAGCACCATAACATAGATTGTGGTTGTCACTATAGGGTAAGCATTAATGACTGGTGTCACTTTCGCCTTTCCCTATACAAGTCTGATATTATTTGCTTCAGTTTCAGTATTAATAGGGAATGGTCCAGGGGTCACTGAGGTTTGCCTCTCAAGCATTGGAATGTCATATCCCCAAAGTATTAGTTTAAATTAGTTTTAATATTAGTTTAAACTTTCAATAATATTTTCACACTTAAGGACAGAATTCATGTCAGAATTTCAGAATTTTCCAAATCAGTCTTACATGTCTATGTAAATACATGTATTGTCAAATTTCAAAGGTAATTTTCTTTTTCTGAGAAAACCTGAAGCCATTTGTGAATCTTTATGAACATGTGCATATAGCAAAAACATCAGTTTCCATAAGATTCTTTTCAGATCACTGAAACAGTTCTAGTTTCTAATGTTGATATCAACATTTCAGTGGTATGCCTGTAGTTATGAATGAAATGCCAGAGTATTTTTGCTTCTTTCATGTGCATCACAAACTAAGGATGCCATCTTTTACAGACTGCACTTGCATGTCCATTGTTTGTTTATTTGTACAGTAGAAACTTCACCTTTTTTCATGTTATTTATGCATTTTCTGTGTTCCATGATTTTCCTTTGTCAATTTTACTGCTTATAAAAGTAGTCTTAGTTACATCTGTTTAGATAAGCTTCGTCTAACATAGCTTAGCGAACCTTCTCAAGCACAGCTTACTAAACTGTGATTCCTCTCTGTCCTGGGTTTGAACTTTTACCTTTTTAACACCTTTTTATTTTTAACCCCCAGAACCCCAGAAAGCATGCACACATCCACCTACTACAGCTTGTTCAGCTTGACCTGAGCTACTCTACATATGCATGACCCGGGAGGTCAAATTGCACAAACGGCAGATCGGGTTATTTTCATTTAATAGGGGTGCAGAGAATGTTCTTAATGTTGCATTCGTGCGAAGCATGCATACATAGATTCGGAAATTGTCCCGGAAAACTACTACTCTCGCTATCACTCTCTACACTCAGTTTTATCACTATTTCTATTTCATGTTCAACTGCAATATTTCTGTCCCAGTAGTCGGTTTCCAAATTTTCAACATGGGTACAACAATCTGTCCACTCGTTTACACCAATCATCTGACAAAGGTGCACCCCTCCACAATAATAAACCCAACCAGTTGTGACACGGTCACGCAATTTATTAGTATTCACTTGATCAGGTCAAGCTGAACAAGCTGTAAATACAAACATTCTCCCTTCCTTAGTAAGGAGTTATAGCTTTTCCCCATCCATAGTAAACCTGTATTTTAGCAGCATGTTTTAATGTGTAAGCATGCTGATATTTGTTACAATAATAAATCAAGTAATGTATGATAAGAAGCAGTTAGAATAGCAAATTTTGCACCAGTTTTGCATGTTTCAAGCACAAAAGGCATGTTTTTGGTTCCATTGCTGTCAAAATGCACAGTTAGGAAGGGATAGGTTTCATATGAATATCTGTGTGTGCACAAGAAATTTCTAGATATATCTGAAAGTACACAAAAACCTTTTCTTTTTCTCTCCCAACTTTGCCTACCAGGGTAGCACTGAGAGTTACCTCCCCTCTATCTTGCAGTTTTCCTGTGCGGCCCCTATTGATGGCCTAAATGCTAACGGCTATCGCGATGTGTGGGTGTGCAACAGCGATGGCTATGTAGGTCACATGTGCTTGCTGAGTCTTCAGCCTGAGCCAATCGTCACTCTCAATACTCCTGTCCCAGGGTGCAATGCTCGCATCCTGTGCATCTGTGCTGTGCCTGCTTACATTGGAGCGTTTCGGAGGTAGGACCACATGCTTGCTCATCATTCACAATCTTAGGAGTAGAAATTTGACCAAGACGATCTTCAGGGAAATAGTTTGACGAGATAGCATTGCTTGGTTGCACAATATCAATGAATTATCTGTAATATACTGAGAGAAACAAATAAAGGAACACAGGAGGATTCAAGCGTTCCTTTAATATTTCCCAGTTTTCATCACCAGGTTTGAATAACACTGTTGGAAGAAATCTGAGAATAAATAAACACTGCCATGAAGTGGTGTTCCCTTATTTGTTTCCCTCAGTATGTGTCCATGTCACGGTAAGATGAGGGACAATTAATGCAGATTTACCTTTGAGTATTAAAGGTTTCTACATGCGGGTTGACATCATATGTGGGGTCGCTTTATAGACAGTGATTTATGGCATTTATTCAGCTCGCATAATTTTGCTTGCGGTAATTTAAAAGAATTTGCTTGATTTTTAGATATAACAACAATTTGGGAGAAGGTGATTTATCGTTTGCAAATGGTGAAAAGACATTGATTGAGTAATGTACTCAAGAAGAATGTCCTTGTATCTGTGGTCAGAATATATTAGTGTATCAACTCAATACAAGAAGAAATTCATATTTATGAGGAGACAGTTCTGCAGCTGTTCTTTTCTGTGTTCTTCTGTGTGTGTCCCTAATGAGGTGCTGGGTTTCCTGTCTGTCTCTTTGATTCATGGTATCATGGCCAACAGCTTCCAGAGTGATACATGCAGATAGCTCACATCAGTTGTTGAAACAATTGAGTATTTTTCATTTCAGAACCCAGGGAAGTTTTACACTGTTCAATATCGATACCTTGATGTTATTGGTTCTATATTGTGATGTGATGACAGAAAAATATTACAAGGGAAAATGACCTGTATGTTTCTAAAGTCATTGCCATAATATTGACCTTTTCAGATTTATGTTCTTGTGTAATGGTCTTTTATGTTCTTGTGTAATGGTCTTTTTGTAACTTATCAGGAACTGAATTTGAAATTCAGAGTTGACTTACATATTTACAAATTGTGTTTCATCTCTAGTACAAGAATTACATGCAGTTTCATCTTGGTTCCTGCAATACTGCTTTTGTTATCATTATTAAAACTAATTTGCTGAATGCTACATGCTGTCTGCTTAGGTGTACAGAAAGTAGATCATGCTAACTGAATCATTCTCTGTAAGCTACATAGGATGTGCTATGTCTTCCTTTCAGAAGAAGCAGCACAAAGGGTCGGCAAAGGCAGCAGCAACGAGACTCAATTGGCTCTCCCTCAGAGGGTCCGCGTATTAATGTAGAGAAAGTAGACGAGGATGTGGACAATATCCCCGAGGATGGGTATCAGTCGGACTCAGAGTCGGATGCTGAGTCGGACGATGAACCTTTGTCTTTCATCCCCCATCAGGATGAGCTGTTTGTTGGAGGTAAGATGGAGGATTGACTGATTTATGTACATGTTGATGGGGTGATTGTCGGATTGTTTAGTTTGTTAACTCTTGCATACGTTATGAGTTTGACTGTCCCAGACTGACATGATGTGACATATTGCCTGGTAAATAGTAAGTTGTTATTCATATGATAGGACCATGCTCGGCCTGTTGTCGACTGTTTTCTTTAGTTCAGGAATAATGACTTGTTGGTTGTCATAACATTGCTATTGTGTGACTCACATGCACTCCTCATGCTGAAGGGCAGTGGGGTAGCCTAGTGGTTAAAGCGTTGGCTCGTCACACCGAAGACCTGGGTTCGAATCCCCACGTAGGTACAATGTGTGAAGCCCATTTATGGTGTCCCCCGCCGTGATGTTGCTGGAATATTGCTAAAAGCGGCGTAAAACCAAACTCAGTCAGTCAGTCAGTCCTCATGCTGAAGGGCAGTGGGGTAGCCTAGTGGTTAAAGTGTTCGCTTGTCACACTGAAGACCTGCGGTCAATTCCCCACATGAGTGCAATGTGTGAAGCCTATTTCTGGTGTCCATGCCATGATATTACTGGAATATTGCTAAAAGTGGCGTCCAACTAAACTCACTCTGATGCTGAATGTGAGGGTAAGCCTCACCCAGTTAAGATGACACACTCCGCTGGCTAGAGTTGTGTCCCTTGGCCTTGGGTACGGCATCAGTCTGTGATCAGAGTCGAATCCTTGTTGCCTCGATGTTTCTAGGTTTGTCAGTGCCATAACCATGTTTGTGGGTTTTACTGAAGTTGTAAACATTTGAGACCCCATTTCTTGGGGCTTTCCCTCAACATTTTGCTGGTACACCCTGACATAACTAGAATTATCAGTCCATATTCCACTGTTGGATCCTAGTTTTATATGTTTATATGTTAAGCCAAGTTTTTATGTTAACCAAGCCTGCTTCCAGTTCTGTGTATGGTGACAACCAGCGTCTGCATTCAATTCCGTAAACTCTGATTATTAAAGCTTATATTGAAGCCAAACCATCTCTGAGTGTTCACACAACACTTACAATAACTGGACTGCCGGAGAAAAGAGCTTTAATCTTAACTCCCTCGCTCATTGTCTCATGTTTAAAGTGCCACATGTGACAAGTGTAACTGATAGTAATCACACACCTTGTTCCAGATCTGGTCTCGGATGATGATGCTCCTCCGCGGCCAGTTATCTCCCCTCTCGCACAGAGCAGCCCTGACCCCATCATGACAACAGGAAACTGGATGCAGGATGCTCAGAGGAGTACAATGTGGCTCGGCACTGAGGATGGCTGGTGAGTTGTCCATAGGAGGGGGAACTGACACTTTTACAGGCAGGGCCATGCTAAATCTGCAGTGGTATTTGTCAGGATTCTTCTGAAAGAGAAACAGAACATATTGCAGCGCACAGTAGGGACAACAAACTGCAGAATTACCTTTGATTGAGATAACTTCCTTGTAACTGAAGGACAGATGAAAAAACACAAAATACCCAGTGTTGCGTTTTAGGAAAATTGAACAAACATTTAATGACCATTATGTCCATGTTTGTAATGCCAACTGTAATTCATTATCCAATCCTTGTTATTCAGAAATTAGAAAGATTGTTGTTAGTTGGAATGAAAAGTAATTTTCTAAATTACAACTGCTTATTATCTAGCTCATTGATGACAGTCACCAAGGTATTTATTTTGTTGGCACACTTTATCTCCAGAAAGAATGTTAAACATAATTTTTCCTTATCCTGACTCATGCTCTTTTGCTTGTCTTCTTCTTCTTGCGAACATAGTGGAAACACTTGTATCTCCTTAATTGAAGCTCCCTTCAATGTAAAATCACTAATCAGTACTCACCACGAGTTGCTCCCCTTTGATCCCTTTTGGCGGGAAAGGTGTCGCCACCTCATACCTCGTGCTTCACTCTCTCCTTCTTCGCCCAGTGAGCAGGATGTGAGAGCGCCTGTGTCTCCTTACACAACATATCCTTTGATTTTTTCTTAGTTTTTACCTCCTATAGTGTACTCTAGAGGTATAGCTAGTATCCTTCAGCAATTTGTATTGATTATTTATCGTATTTCTACTGTTTATTCACGGTATTCGTGATTGTTCAGCTAGTATTACGCTGATAAAATCTGTACTCATTTGTAGATTACGCTTTTCTGCCTCAGATCCGCATGTAATATGCCCTAGTTGTTCTACCGTGCGCGCTTGATTCACGCTGCAGTTATTGCATTAATTTATCTAATTCTGCATTTAACAAATACTATCTTTGCGCCTTAAGACGTGCTGCAGATAGGTCACGCAAACAAGGGCTAAATATGGCTGATACTCCAGATACTCCATCTAGTCAGCTGCTGGCGATCGACCCCCTACCATCTGGTGTTCTGCTAGAGACCCCATCGGAAGGGGCGTGGGATGCAGTCCGCCACCCTCTAAGAAGCGACCGGCCTCCCCAGACATCCCGTCGCCATCGCAGATAAAGTCCAAGAGGGCCTCGACGTCTTCTCAACGCAGACTTCGTACCCCCAGGGCAGCGTCGGCATCCAAAGGAAAGTCTACGAAGACAGCGAGAACTTTCTCAGCCGAGATCGTTCCAGCCGAAGAAAGGGGCCTCTACGATGACCAACCGATTATCATCCCCGACATACGGCACAAGAAGCGGCCGGTGTCAGCGACAGTGACTTCAGCAGAGATCTTCATGCAGCCTGATGCCTCTACACCGATGTCAGACGTTATTGCTGTGGACCCCATCATTAACACCGCAGAGAAGGCGCAGACAACATCGTCGCAGACCATCCCTGATGACCTGATGCAGCAAATTATGACGATGATGGAAGACCGATATAGACTGCAGAAGCAAGGACCGAAGTTTTCGCGAAGGCTCCAACGAGAACAGCACCCCAGAGGCACCCCGTCAACGTAGCAGCCAAGACGATGTCACCTTCGCTGAAGGAAGGCACGGACCACCTCCACGAAGGACCTAGATGTACAGCTTCGCTGGCGGCCTTCGCTGGCGGATAGATCTTTTCCCTCGCCATCTTCATCCCAAGATGTGGACTCGACCATCAGACATCACGAAAGCCTTCGCGCTAAGGTCTTATCGTAAATCCCGGACCGACGCGAGAGGAAGCTTCGCTAAGGCATTCGCTGAAGGCCAGCTGAATCCAGATCTTCATCATCTAGAAGGACATCGAGGGACTACACAAGAGCTTCGCTGAAGCTATCAACGCTTCTCCTCACAGGTCACCGAAGATCAACCCATAGACGAGATCACCTAGACGATCTCCTCTTCGCTCATCACCGCCAGATCACCTTTTACAGATCACCATACAGAGCTGCACAAGCATCGCCGGATCGAGAGACAGAAGCACGCAGTCCAGAACAGCACCAACCTCTCATCAATGATGATGGTGTAGAGGATGATGGAGGAGTTATTTTCTCCTCGATGCTGAGATACGGTATTGGATGGTCAATAACCTAGATCTCTCATCACCATCTAAAAATGGCAATGTGGCTTAGACATATCTGATGAAAGAAGACGATGCAGATGCTATCACACTACCACCGATCGATCTCGATTGCAGCAGTTCCACAGAATCTAGATGCAGCATTCCACAAAGCCACGAAAGTTCAGACACCACATCTACCAAACTTTCATGCCAAGAAGTTCTCCACGCATAACATGGACCCCTTCTTCAAAGCTCAGGACATCGATGAGAACTATAAGTTGATCAACGATGTCAAGTACAAGAATTACAAGATTGATGATCGCAAGTTAGTCCAGATAGAAACCATGACGAGACGTATATTTTTTTAGGTTTAAATAGATCTTGAACGATCAATGAGACTCTTATCACCAGATTTCGGTGATAATGACTTCTGAGGATGATAGAATGATTTATTCTGCCTTACTTATGCAAAAGAAAGACCAGCAGTTCCTAACAGATCATCTTACATCTATTTCAGCAGCACTGACCTTAGCTCGTCGTCAAGGCCTCCTCGCTTCCTGTAACTGGGGTGAGAACTTTACAGCCCCACTGTATACAGCCCCGTGGTCTTCAACATCCATCTTTAATGGAGAAATAGACAAAGTTTCCAAGGAAGTCACTAAGGATTCCAGAGAAGTCCTGATGATTAAATCGATGGACACACTAGCCAGCGTCATCCGACAGACCTCTCAAAGATACTCAGGAAGATCTAAATTCACGGGCCTACAGAGAGCACGAGACAGGAAGATAGCCAGCTCTAGAGGTAAAGATTCTTTTCGTCGCCCATTCGGCAACTATAGAGGAGGTTCAGGAAGAGGCAGGACACCCAGAGGTTCCCGCAACTATAAACGCTGAAAGACAGGTTCGGAACGACTGGAGTCTTCCACCCCCAGCCGTTCCAGTACAACCATCTCAAGTGGGTGGACGCCTCCAACTTTACTGGGAAAACTGGGGAATATTACAAGACCCTTATGTCTCCAACATTCTTCGTCACGGATTTCTTATCCCACTAAAGGCCAAGCCTCTGCTGACAGTCAACCCTCACAAGTTCGACGTACAGGCACAACTACCGGAGTTAAGAGAGGCTGTTACATCACTCTTAATAAAGCAGGCCAAAGAAGTACTAGACCAGGACAACATTGAACCAGGTTTCTACTCCCCAGTTTTCCTAGTTCCCAAGAAAAACTCCAAGGAGAAATACAGACTCATCTACAACATGAGCTTTTTCAACAAGAACTATCTACGCAAACCACCGAAGTTCCGCATGATACATTTACCTCAGTTACGGCAGTTGATTCGCCCCATGGACTATATGGGCAGTATAGATCTACAGGACGCTTACCTGCACATCCCGATACACGCCAAAGCCAGAAAATACCTACGGTTTACTTTAGACGGGCAACATTACCTGTGGAAAGTGCTCCCATTCGGAATATCATCAGCCCCCTGGCTTTTCACGAGGATAACGAAACCGATTATCACCTATCTTCATCATCAAGGGCTACGCAGTGCGTTTTACCTCGACGACGAATACAAGTAGATCAAGATCCACAGCATCTCAAACTACAGTTAAATTACATCATAAAGCTACTAACACAGCTAGGATGGTTAGTAAACTTACTCAAGTCGGACCTAGTACCGTCACAAGACCTACAGTTCCTAGGCATTCGATTTATCACAAATCTCAACCGTGATCGTCGTATTTCAGAAGACCGAGGGCTCAAGATCCAACAGACCATTCCACTAGCGCTTACACTCTCCGCTACCACTTCGACAATGGCAGAGCCTCCTAGGTCTCCCTCACATCAGCCCAAGACATGACAGTCAGAGGCAGGTTACAGTTACGCCTTTACAGGTCTTCATCAATGCACATCTCGACGATTTACAGCCATTCAGTCTACCAAAAACATCTCAGACCTCATTTACTATGGTGGACAAAGAAATCGAATGTCTGCGAAGGGATTTGTTTAGCAGAGCAGGAGTTCAAAACCCATCTATATGTGGACGCGTCACTTCAAGGTTGGGGAGCTCATCTCGCCAACCAAACGACATCGGGAATATGGAATCAACAAGAAAGCAAACTCCACATAAACAACTTAGAGATGAAAGCTGTAATCAACGCCATTCTACATTGGAGCACATTTCTACAAAATGCGCACCTGATGATTCATACAGACAATTCCACAGTCGCGTTCTACATAAACAAGCAAGGCTCAACGAGATCACTGAACCTTTTGAACCTAAGCTTTCAACTATTCGATCTAACCCACGATCTAAATCTACAGATCAGAGTAGTTCACATTCCCGGAGCCAAGAATGTACTAGCAGACGTGCTATCTCGGCCTCATCTACCATCACCGACAGAGTGGATGCTCAATACGGAAATATTTGCTCAGATAATCAAGCCGTTAGCAGCTTAATAGATCTATTCGCCACAAGATTCAACAATCAGTTACCGACATTCGTGGTCACCAATCCCAGATCCACAAGCTTGGGAAACGGACGCCTCTAAGTATATCTTGGGAAGGCCTCAACGCTGCACGCTGCTTTCGCCACCTCACCAGCAATAATACCTCAAGTATTACAGAAAATCAAACAAACACAGAGTCTACAACTCACTTTGGTCGCGCTCTACTGGCCAGCCAGAGTATGGTTTCCCAGTCTAATTCAAGAAATCGGTCAACCAGTATTAGAGCTACCCAAGCGCTCAAACCTGTTAATACATCCACACACAAAACAAGTGCATGGAAACCCAGAAGTTTACCAACTTCACGTATGGACTGTATACAAATGTGTTTAAACAAGAGAGGATATTCCGCCAGGGCGGCAAAAGCGGTCACGCTTTGCCTTTTACACTCAACTCGTGAACTTGTAATGCACGACAAGTGGCACAGTTTCAAAATTATGCAGCTAATAAAGGATTTACAGCGAGAGATGCTTCACATCCTCAAGTGGCAGACTATTTGTGTTACCTGCGGCAAAACAAACATTTAAGAGGTTCGACGATATCAACATATCTTTGCCGCGCTTAGCTCTGGTGGATTACTATGAGAACGGGTGTCAAGCTGACAAAATCGCCAGAGTTACTGGCCTTACTAATGCGCTTTCGATTGGAGGACCAAAGCGGAAGTTCCACTTCCAGCTTGGGATCTGAATATAGTGTTACAACACCTCACAAGTGAGGCTTATGAACCCTTGGAATCGACAAACTTTGAATTTCTCTCACAGAGAACACTATTTCTGCTATCTCTAGCCACGGCAGCAAGAATATCTGAAATTCACGCCTGGATTACGAAAGGATACAGTTTGATGACAATCAAAACATAGCGCACCTGGGATTAAGATGGGATTTCATCGCTAAAATCAACTACCAGGTCAACCAGACAGGTTATTTCATGTACCGGCTTATCCTCCATTCTCGGATCACAAGATACACAAGACTTGTCACTGTGTCCAGTCAGAGCTCTCAAAGTTTACCTCTGACGATCCAAAACAAGGCTTAGATTTTTCAAAAGATTATTCATCCCCTTATCGCCAACTAATCAAACAGAAGTCTCAGCGTACTACCATATCTATTTGGATAAGGACTGTCATACTCACAAGATACAAGGCAGCAGGCTTGGACCCACCAACAGCATCAAATCCGCATGAGATTAGGGCACTGGCTTCCACCCTCGCCCTGCACGGTAACTGTTCATTGAACACTATTATGGAAGGATGCTTTTGGAAATCGAACATGGTGTTTGCGAATCACTACTTGAGAGATATCACCACAGAAGATGTCTCTGGCATTCACCATTTCGGCCCTTTGGTCCTCGGCCAACAGCTGACAGTCCCTCGTGAGGGCGCTAAAATATTACAATCACAAAGTTAATATGTATTATATACATAATTTAGTTAGCTTATAACTCTAAGGAGTTCTAGAGCTATATATATATATTTAGCTTAGGTCTTTCACCCCTAAGTATATATGGACATTATCTTTAGTTGTACAGCGACTCTATCAGAGTCACTTATCTATATATAATTTAGGTAATGGGTTTTTTCTATATATATCAATGTAATACACAATTATGGCATTATAAAACCTATGGTTTTATACAGAAATATCCTAAGTCTATGCCTTCATGAAGTTCCCATACCAGTTATTACAGTTATATTTATACAAAATCACTAATTATAAATCCAAAGTATTCTGTTACTCCCTCCTCCGTCTGTGAGGATTCTACAAGAAAAGAGCATGAGTCAGGATAAGGAAAAAAAATATGTAATTTTAGAGTAAAATTGATATTTTATACTTATCCTGACTCATGAGGTCAGCCCCTCCCATCCTCCCCACATAACACTTTGGATTTCCCTGTAAATTCAAGTGTTGGGCTCGCAAAATCAGGAGAGAGTGAAGCACGAGGTATGAGGTGGCGACACCTTTCCCGCCAAAAGGGATCAAAGGGGAGCAACTCGTGGTGAGTACTGATTAGTGATTTTACATTGAAGGGAGCTTCAATTAAGGAGATACAAGTGTTTCCACTATGTTCGCAAGAAGAAGAAGACAAGCAAAAGAGCATGAGTCAGGATAAGTATAAAATATCAATTTTACTCTAAAAATTACATTTTATGAGCATCCTGTTGACACTTGTAAATTTGTTATCTATCTGTCCTTCACCTCTGTTATAATACGCGATATCCTTGTTTTCTGTTGCAGCATCCACATTTTCCAGTGTACAGATAATATCAAAACAACGAAAAACAAACTCAAAATCCAACATGGATCCCCGGTGTATGGTATTGTGTAAGTAGCTCAGATTGTTCTCTCACACGTCTGTATGTTGTAAGGTTAATGATTCTGCAGATTAGGTTAAATCCTTGGCCTTCCTAGAGAACTCAACATCAGTGGTTCAATCCCTGGCTGTGTCATGCCAATAGGTTTGAAAATATATTATAAGTTGTTCGCTAGTCTCGAGGGGGGGACATGGGCTGATGTACCATCGATGTTTGTTTATGTTCCCTGAGCCCGAAGGGAACATAAAGAAACACCGAGGTACATCAACCCATGGGCCCCGAGGGACCAGTTAACAATGTATTTATCTTACCGAACACCTCAATGGTAATTTTGAACTGTTTGAAGCACAGGTATCGGATTATAGTATGGAGTACCAGACGACAAGAAAAACAGATTTAGAGTTATCTCCCTTCCATAGATATGCATTCGCAAAACATCGGTAATTTCCGTACATCATATGTGATTCAATGTTATTCGAGATAAAGAATTACTAAGAAGTACCAAATGAGTTCGGCATTCCCAGCGGGGGTACATAGAAAATATTGCTCGCTTCTAAGAGGGGTACATTGAAAATAATGAAAGATCGTTCAGACAATCAGAAGACGACATTTATGTGTGAGGCAAGATAATACTTGTTGTTACCCTGTCTGGGGCTCAGCATTTAGGGGATGAAAATAGGACTGGTCAGATTGGTGTCAATGTATTGTGTCTGACTGGAGTATCCATGTTAATCTTCAGTATCATATCTAGGTGAGCTAGCACTAAAAGTTGTAACCAGTATGTTTATTTCTTGTTTAATGTCTTATGGCTGTATTTAGCAATTATCGGAAGTTGATATCTTCTCAGGGATTTGAACCAAGGCCTTCGGCGTGATGATAGAGAACTTTAACAACTGGGGTACCGACATCCTACAGAGAAGTCCCTATAAGCTGATGCTTGTATGGATGGACCGTAACATCTCTTTTCTGTTTCAGATATCTTGATAACAAAGTGTTTGTTTCCCTGGCCAATGGGGATCTGATTGTCTATAAACGGGAGTTGAGCGTGGTATACAATGGTGAGGCACAGTTATTTCCCTTCATTCTCAAATTCTCTCTTATCCTGCAGGAATAGTTTGTATTGAACAAATTGAAATGATTTAATCTTGTTATGTTATAATTACCTTTCCTACTCATTTTGAAAAGAATTGTAACAGGGATTAATCTAGAATGTAACAAAATAACTACCTTGCCTGGCAAAGTGAGAAAATCCCTTTTCTGTTTAAAATTAAGACTTCTAAGTTCGCAATTATTTTGAAATTGCATTGAGTGTTGCACTCAAATTGCTTTTGTAATGGTAATTGGTTTTGTCAACAATGAAACACCAGTTTTCTTTATGAAGTTGTAACAAAAACTGGATTTGGGAAATAGGGGAATTTTACTAACTTTTACTGGAATATCTGCCTCTGTGTAGTCCTTAGTAAATCCTTGTGTACGATACTGATTTTATCCTTTGTGCTATTCAGAGGGCCTGTGGGACACAGAGAGACCGTACACACGCACAATTGGCAGTGCCACGTCCCCGATCACCAAGATGTTGGCGGTGGCGGGGAAACTCTGGTGTGGCTGTCAGAACAACATCCATGTTATAAACCCACTCACGCTCAGTGTCGAGGCAAGTATAGAGCTTATTATGTGTAAAACTTCTTTCAGCTAAGGAAGACAGTTTCATGGATATCAACTTCTTTATTCAGGTGATGAAGGAGTAAGGTTATATGCCGAAACGTGTTCCTCATAATAAAGACGTTGACATCCATAAAACTCTCTTCCTTATGTGTATCACTTCTAACTGTCAAAGACTTTCTTTCAGATAATTAAGTGTCATAGTATATTTAGTTGCAGGAAAAATATGTCTGAGTAACTGAAGTTTGGCATTATTTGTCATTTGTAAGTAGTTTTCAGCGTGACAAGACAACCATTTGCCAGTCTTCAGTGGATTATCTGGGTTATTGGCCGATTAGCTTATACAAACAGGCTGTTTAGTCACTCCAACAGTTTAATATGCTGACTCGGCAGGTCCTTGCATAACTCTTTAGCATTTTCACGATATTTGTGGTCAGTTTGGTTGTCCCTTGAAGGTCAAGTTATATACCTGATGCCTTGAGTTTTAAATAATTTTTTTTACACTTTTCAAGTGTTTTTCACACTTCAGGTGAACATTTGACACGTCTAATCATTAGATTTTACTCTCTTACTCTTTTATCATACAGTATAAAGTGAAACAAGTAGATATAAAGAAATATTGTGACAGTTTAAGAACCTTCTTAAGGTTGAGGTTAAACTAAGCATGAAAGTCAAAACATGTAGGGACTGTTGATAGGAAAAATTCTTTGGTCCAGGGATTGTGAGACTGACAAACAATGAAGGGATGAATGCCATATATTGGTTGATTTAAAGTCCTCAGTTGTCAAAGTATTTAAACCTTTGCGGTTTATTTGTGCAGACGTTCCAGGTGACGACAGACGCCAACCGCTCCGTGCAGTGCATGGTCTGTGCTGGACAGGGGGTGTGGATTGCCTGTCAACAGTCCTCTAAAGTCAGCCTTTTCCATGCCACCACCTTTGAACCCCTCCTAGACGTCAGCATAGCTCAGGCTGTGTCTGCCAAACTGCAGTGTAAGTTGGAGAGAACATCAAATGGGAAAAACGTTTTAATGACATTTGTTGGAATCTTAGGGCAAAATAGCTGCCTATGAGCAGACCCTTGAGACCACTTGCTCTAAGCAACCGGACCGCTTTTACTTTCTAAAGCCAATGTTTAAGTGTGCGATTTGTCTGTGTGTTAAGTGTTTAATGCCACAGTCAGTAATATTAGTGGGTATATGACGGAGATCTGTAAATAATCAAGTCTGGACCTGACAATCCAATTATCAACAGCATGAGCATTGATCTACTTAATTGGGATACAATGACATGTGTCAACCAAGTCAGTGAGTCTGACCACACGGTCACGTTAGTTGCCTCTTACTACAGTTACTATCATTGTAGTATTAAGTTTGTGTCAAGGGCCCCTGATCTTGAAGTGATTTGTAATAATGTATGGCTTGGTGTTTTCCAGCGGCTGATGACATTATTCGGCAACACAAGGCAGCATGTTTGCGGATCACAGCTCTGCTCATCTGTAAGGACCTGCTGTGGGTGGGGACGAGTGCTGGAGTCATCCTCACCATCCCCATCCCCAAGATCACCTCGACCACAACCAATGGTTCTCTGGCCATCCCTTCTGTCACAGGTAAGTTGTGTATCTCTGCATCTATGTAATCCCATACATGCAATCAGGACCACTGAGTAGACCACTGAGGTGTAGTGGTTATCATAAGAGAGTTGGGTTCGATCCCAGCAGCGTCATACCAAAAGACGTTAATATATGTGTTGGTTATTAATAGCACAACAAGGACTGGTTGAGCTATAACTCTATTCAAGCTCTATGGCAGTCTTTAAATAATCATGTGAAGACAAGCAGCCGCACATACACATAATCCAGTGATTGACATAATGAATATTCTCAAGCATCGAAACCCAATTTCACCTACCTCACCTCACTGGTAGATTTATTTGTTATGCACCAAATTGAACTCTATGTCTATGGCAGTCTGTAAATAATCATGTAAGACCCGATAATCCAGTGATTGACATAATGAGCATCGATCTACTCATTTGGGATTTATTGACATGCTTGAACCATGTCAGCAAGCCTCTTAAACCCTTTTTGACAAGCAGGGATTGCTGAAAATCAATTCCATTCCAGATCTTCAGGGATTAGATCAAAAGTGAAAGCATTTGTGTTGAGTTGCTTGAAAAGTTGATACTGAGTGGTTTTGATTTATGGATTAATTAATGTTGCTCACGCAGGATAGGTCCCCTTATAGGAGCCGACTGGCCGATTTCCTTGTTATAATATATACAGGCAGCTGTGACATAGCTGACATAGTGGTTACTGTGGTGTTAAATAGTCACATTCCTTTCAGGAACTAATTAAATCATGCAGTTTTAGACATATTTTACCCCTCATCAGAATTCCATGTTTAATTGGGACTCAGGTCATATGAAGTGACCAAAATCGATTAGGTGCTCATCGTCTGTGACTCTATTTAAAACATGTCATTGTATACCAAAGGCATGGATTGTGTTTCCTTACATCATCCACTGGATTGTGTGGGACCAGTTCTACAAAGATACAAGACTCAGTTCAGGGTACAAATATACAAGACTAAAGTTCAGTATATGTTAAAGTATGGGAGTTAGTATCACATTAACACTACAAGGGGCGGTGGGGTAGCCTAATGGTTAAAGCGTTGGCTCGTCACGCCGAAGACCCGGGTTTGAATCCCCACATGGGTACAATGTGTGAAGCCCATTTCTGGTGTCCCCCGCCGTGATGTTGCTGGAATATTGCTAAAAGCGGCGTAAAACCAAACTCACTCAGTCAGTTAATACTACAAGCTCTATGTGGAAGAGGGTAATGGTCCAGACTTAAGTATTTAAAGGCCTCTATCTTACAGAGCTACAGATAACTTTTGGGGTCATTGAGTTATGTACTGGCCTGTGTTCATCTCAATTGGGTATCCTAATTTTCCTTTGAGTAACCAAATAAATTGTACTCATCTCACTCGAACTCAATTGGGTATTTTGCCATTTTCCATTAATTTTAAAAATACAATAAAGTTTAAATGTTGGTGTTTGTTATTAATATTTGATCTGTAATATGAGAAACGATAAGAAAGACTGCAAGTTGCCAAGTTCATGTGTGGAAATAGAATCTCTCAATATACCTTAGTTATTTTATTTATCAACCGGTACGCAAGCTATGATTTGACAGTTTTGTGTGTACGCATGTAAGTTCACATTTATTGAGTATTTACTCAAAATCAAGCATACTTGTACGCAATAGCCTAAATAGGAATTGAGTTTTCACATAAATATTTGCGTAATTTACGCAGATACGCAGCTTATCTGTACCTCTGATCTTAACAAACAAACAAAGTAAAACATAGGTTCCATTCCATGTCTTTATTATGCTTGTTTCAGGCCTAGTCTATGGGCACACAGGACATGTCCGCTTTCTGACGAGTGTGGAGCTCTCCATAGGAGGAAGTCAGAAAAGTGAGGCTAAGGAATCTCAGGGCGAGGGAAGTGCCATGCCCGACCTTCACAGGCGGTCCTCAATGGCAGCTACAATTGCTACCATGGCAACACGAATGCTTGTGATAAGTGGCGGGGATGGTTACGAGGATTTCCTCAATACATCGGCCAACGAAGCAGCGGGCCGTGACGATAGCACAAATCACCTACTGTTGTGGCAGGTGTGAGAGGAACCGATGGACGGATGACTGACTTTCCCACTGGGTGGCAGATCACAGGCTTTCATTTACTGCTCAACACAACCAACTTACAGACAGTCTGCCATCATACAGTCATCAGCCCGACTTCAAAGTTGGGGATTGAGGATCTGTGCTGATAGCCAAGTGTTCATTATATTAAAATTCAAATTCAGTGGTTCAAGAATTGACCAACCAATGCCAAAATCTTAATCATAATATACAATGTACTGTGTAAAACATATTGTCTTTCTTGACAGGTGTTACCATAGGTAATAAAGCTCAAAGACCTGTAATAGAGCTTGAATATCCTCTCAGCATATTTTTCCAAAAATATATAATTTGTCAAGGGAGGAAATGAAAAAATTCAAGCGCTGATCTAAATTATTGTGTTGTGATGGGACATGGGATGCATAGTTTCATTCCTAACTATATCACCTCTGTTGAGGTGCTTTTCAAGTCCTGCCAATATAGAGACCCATGGACAATGGTGATCTGCACATGAGTGCTGGAAAATGACATTATCCATTGTCATGGAATCAGAGATTTAGTCGATACATGGACATTTGTGAAAACGTTACTGAGCTGTGCCTGCCCGATCTGCCCCCAGCTGGACATGGTGTGTTACGTGTGCATATCTACTTGGTGCTCATCTGAAAACAGGTTGTGAAATATTCATCAACCAGAGGTATTTTGCTTGCAAGTATTTTAAATTGTCTATTTATTTCAGTTGTACATAGTCGCCCATGCTGTACAGAGTTGGGAATTGAAGGATGGCTGAGATGGGAGAGAATTATTGGGCAAACATAGTACCAATGTCATTCACTGGAGGCTACCTAATTCAGTGCATCTATCATGAGCACAAGAAGGCCTCTTTGCACAAGTTCAAACTATATCCAGTTAGTAGTACAGTATCCAGTTATATAGGCCATGTTGTGACACTACACTTATTATTTTTAAGTGGGATTTTTGGTACGCAAATACAAATTGTTACAAATTTTCAGTTGTTTGATTTGCAATAGGTTGTCAATTCAGTCTCAAAGGATACATGAAATACTTCCGATATATAATCTAGATTGAAGTAAGAAAATGAAGGTATGAAATGTTATCGAAGCAGACAATGTGAGAGGTTTTACAGTCAGATTTATTATCATCTAATCAAATTTTGAGTTTCAAGGTGTAATATTCAGTAAGTGTCAGAAAGTAATTTATGCCAATAGGCCAGTATTAAAGCATTGATATATGCTAACAGGACATTTACTTATCCCTTATTTACTATTTAGATGGTGGATCTCCCACTCCACTTGTTGCTATCCCAGATATATCACAGCTTCTATTCCTATTTGTTCTATAAGATCTGTTTTAAAGTTTACGTGTTTATGTAAAAGATATTCAGGTGGATTAGCCCTGTGGTTAATGTGTTCTTTTCTGGATGTGTTTGATTCCCAAAGTGCTACTGTCAGATTCTGGGCCCTGGGTAACCTCTCACAAAGCACGAAGGTGATCGTAAGTCACTAAGATAACCTTAGTGCAATGTTAAAGAATGGGAGTTAAGGTTAACCTTAGTAGAGGTTGCTTCGTGAAAGGAGCCCCTGGGTGCCGTTGTACAAAACAACCTTAGCGCTAAGGTGATCGTAAGTCCCATACCTTATCATAGACTTATGATAGTCATAGCACGAAGGTTGTTTTGTACAGTGGCACCCTGGGCCTAGATTTTCGAAGCTCTCTTAGCACTAAGATCGTCGTAAGTTAATGTTAATGTATGGTACTTATGACTATGTTAGCGCTAAGAGAGCTTCGAAAATCTAGGCCCTGGTCAACAAGGTGATCTTAGTGCTATTCTAATCATACATCTTTGTTAAAGTATGCCCATCTCAATAGTTGTAGCACTAATAGTTTTACATAGATTCGACTCTGATGTAAACTAGCCTGTTGTCAGGTTGTTATGTCAAAAAGTGTACCTGAAGGATAAATTACAGATCTTTTAGCGAACCAATATAGAAGATAAGTGTATCGGAATTCTGTTTCCATGTAATGACAGTCGGTATTATGTTTGGCTCGAGTAGCTGAGGCTCCTCCAAACCACTCAGCTGCACAGAGACAGAGGTGAATGCTCCATTGATGAAGATGGGGCACTCTCTCCCCCATGTGCCAAATTCTTCCTTGTTACCTATGTTATATGGCTTGTTATTTACCACAGATGTTATTGAAGCATTATGTAGGGGACCTCGTTATACCCCTACCGTGGGGACACAAATGTGCTTCTTGAAATGTGGTGTGTCCTGTGTAAGTGATTCAAGAGGCTTATGCCTTTCAAAGTCTTGCTCTTAAACTATTTGTTGTCCATTTTGAGGCATTTGCACTCTCAAGTGATTTTTTTATCTGAAAGAGTTTTTATGTGAAATACGATGTGTAGAGACATACATTTATGTTCATACAAGTTTAGAGATATTAAGTATTACATGATTGTTTAAATCTTTACACCCTGGTAAATTAAACACTGTTTGTATGCTGAAATCAAAACCTAGTGTTAAATGACTGTGTGATTGATCCGACAAGTGTAAAGCTATGATATGAATCTCCTGTTGTTGTTTTCTCGACCATTACAGCATTACTACTGACACTGTTAGTACCTGCCCCTGCACCCCACCCCACCTTCCTTACCCCCAGCCCAGGTCCCTCACCCCTCATATGAATCAGTGCTATTTATGAAGCATTCAGTTTTGTCTCTACATTAGTGCCTTAATCGAGCTGAATTGTGTTCTTCACAGTCAACTTGTTTGTAATAAATCTGACTGTATTTATAATCTGATATCTATTCTGTACAGATTGACAGATATATGTGTTTAGTACATTGTAGGATGTGGTATCAGTATGCATTGTGCTACATTGTAGAAGTTATGATGTAGTACATTGTAGGATGTGATATTGGTTTGCTTTGTACTATATTGTAGAAATTACAATACAGTACAATGTAGGATGTGATATCAGTTTGCATTGTGCTACATTGAAGTTATAATGTAGTACATTGTAGGATGTAACATTGATACACATTTGACTACATTGTACAAATATTTAATGTACATTATAGGGTGTGATATGATATCATTACACACTGTAGGATATGACCTGATATTGGTACACATTGTAGGATGTGACAGGATATCAGTACACATACGATGTGACATGATATCGGTTCACATTGTAGATTGTGACATGATATCATTACACATTGTAGGATGTGACATGATATTACACATTGTAGGATGTGACGTGATATTATTACATGTAGGATGTCACATGATATCATTACACATTGTAGGATGTGACAGGATATCGGTACACATTGTAGGATTTGACATATCAGTTCACATTGTTGGATGTGACATGATATCATTACACATTGTAGGATGTGACATGATATCATTACACATTGCAGGATGTGACAGGATATTGGTACACATTGTAGGATGTGACATGATATCAGTACACATTGTAGGATGTGAAATGATATCAGTACACACTGTAGGATGTGACATGATATCGGTGCACATTGTAAGATGTGACATGATATCATTACACACTGTAGTATGTGATTTGAGATCAGTACACATTGTAGGATGTTACTTGATATCAGTACACATTATAGGATGTGACACAACATCAGTACACATTGTAAAATGTGACATGATATCAGTACACATTGTAGGATGTGATGCGACGTCAGTACTCGTGTATTGTGACAATCACAGCAACAGTGTATGACAAGACCAGTTGTCATGACAAGCCTATCCCCTCACACATAAACACATGCTGACATTGTCATGACTACAGAGCATACAAGATGTGCAATGGATGCTTATATCTCTGTAGTAGATTGACCTAGCAGCTGAATACTTCTCATTCCACTCGTAGACACTGCTCAGACCATACAACATCATAAACAGCAGAATTTGCAATCGGATATACAGATTTGGGCTTCATTTATTTTGTTCAGTCTTGATGTATAAATTAGTGCAATGGATTCAGTAATAGCAATGGAATCCTGGAGACAAAATGCAAATTTAGCACCAACAATGTCAATTATTCTGCTATTTTTGTTAAAAGTAGCTTTTATTGTAAAGTTTTGTCCTAGGTCCACAGTTGTGTTACCAAAGGGATTATGTTTTGTCGTACCATGTATGATGTAACTGTCTCAACGTTGCTCCTCCTTCGAAGCACGATGTGCTTACAGGGTGCTAAAGTATTCTCCTACACAGTAAAGTCACATATAATTTAGGGATATATTCGTGACGTTTTTGTCATCCCCAATGCAAAGAATGTTAGTACAACTGATTGATCTATGTCTGTTTCCTCACAATAATATCATTTCCCATATTTGAGAAGTTTGATCAAAGTGTTTTTGATCATTTTCGGGGTTTTTTTCGAGAGGAAATATTATTTGCTCATATAACTAAGTTTATACCTGTAGAGATGCCATTATTCTCTGTTACTTTTTTTCATGGATATAGTACATTCTTATGGTGGTATATTGGTTTGAAATGAACAGTTCTCCTTGATTGGTTGCTGTTATATTTTAGTTTGAATATGATTTTAAATTTTGATTTTATTATGAATTCAAATATCAGAGAGCATATCATATGTTCAGGTTTTATTGGTATCAGCAGCAACTCTTTTGTTTTATTGTTTCTTGTGTCAGTCAAAGTAAAATGAAGATCTTTTTACTTTAATTGTCAGAAGTACTGTGTGGGTGCACTCATGCAGCTTAACCTGGTTCAAGAAAAGGAGTTGTACAAAGTATTCAATACTTTCAGAAAATTGTATTTTCATTTTTTGGTCATTAATATCCAACTTCCTGAATGCAGTTTTAGTTACATATCTCTTCATTATTTTATGCAAGACAAAGTGGGCAGGAAACTGAAATTAAATAATAGACCCCATTGATTTAGCAAACTATTGGGCAAAAGAAAGTATGCACTTGAAAACTGGATTTGACGAAATACTTACAAATGTTATGAAAACGAAATTAGACTGCAAAGTTGACAAAGTACAAGAAACATGTCATCTTGGTTCTTTTGCTTGTTAGATTTATATCCACCGTCAAACATGGGCATGTACTAAATGTGTATCCACCGTCAAACGTGGGTGTGTGCTAGATTTATATCCATCGTTAAACATGGGTGTATACTAGATTTATATTCACTGTCAAACATGGATGTATCCTAGGTATATATCTACCATCAAACATAGGTGTATACTTGACTTATATCCACCATCAAACATAGGTGTATACTGGACTTATATCCACCGTCAAACATGGGTGTATATTATCTTTAAATCCACCATCAAACACGGATGTATACTAGATTTATATCCACCGTCAAACATGGGTGTATATTATCTTTATATCCACCATCAAACACGGATGTATACTAGATTTATATCCACCGTCAAACATGGGTGTATATTATCTTTATATCCACCATCAAACACGGATGTATACTAGATTTATATCCACCGTCAAACATGGGTGTATACTTTCATTTGCTCAACAGTTTAGTTGTTGGTGACATTGGGATGATCTCAACCCCAAACCATGAAATGAAAATAGTGCTCCCAGTGTATTAAGTCGATAGAATGTACAAAACATATCACAAATACAACTTTATATCACAAATACAACTTTATATCACTAATACAACTTTATATCACACCAATAGAATTATTGCATATGAAACAAACATGACAATCAGAAATATATATATATATTATTTTTTTTGAGTGGTGAATCATACATTATCACAGAAATCCTGTTGTTTGTAGACAGTTTAAGTCAGTATTTTGAACTCAATGACTCCGCTAAGAGCTTGGGCCCTTTCCACAGAGGGATCTTAGCACTAAGACGATCCTAACTCCAGCACTTTCACATTGACTTAAGACAGTAGTAGAGCCAAGATATCTCTCTTGAACGGGCCCTGAGTTAGTATTACGCTGAGTTCACACATCTATCGTCACTGCCAATATTCACTGCCATGCAATACACGTGTAGTATATTCACATTGAAGTGTCAACATGTGACCGATGCAGCAGCATAGTGTTACCATAGACACATGGATGCTGGTTATGATTGGTGCACAACCAGCCCAGTCAACAGGACATTGATCCAGATTGTAATTATCCCAATTAATTAAGTCTCTATAATTTATTTGCCTTTTGTTGAGGCAGTTGATTCAAGAGTGTGTTTCACCAAGCAGTGACAGTGCTACGACTGCAGCAATGTATACGCTTTAACTTAAATAAGTTGTAGAACCATTACCAAGGACCCTCTGAATTTAAGGACCCTTTTATGTTAACAGGGACCTTTATAATTTGATGGGGATCCTTTTGATTTGAAAGGGACCTTGTTAAGTTGATGTGGACCCTTTTAAGGTAAGGACCCTTTTATATTGATCGGGAATCTGTTAAGTTGATAGGCATAAAAGGGACCTTAATTTAAAAGGTTCCCTATCAGGAGCCTTTTAAGTTGATAGGGACCCTTATAATGTGATAGGGATCCTTATGATTTGATAGGGACCCATTGGATCTGTTTATGTTGATCGGGACCCTGTGAAATTGATAGGGACCCTTCTGAGTTGACAGGGACCCTAAAAGTTGATAAGGACCCCTTTTAAGTTGATAAGGACCCTTTTAAATTGACAGGGACACTTATATTGTTTTTCTTTTTACATTCAATAAGATGATATGGATGTCCCAGTCCACCACAAACTGAGTAGACAATGCATGAAGTGTAGTTCAGGAGTTAATTCTTTATATGCATATTTTCGTTTCACATTATCTGGCTGTTGTGTAAAACTAGTACCATCACAGTCAGTGTTAGCAAGGCATTGTGAGAAACTTGTCATTGTCTCTGTACTTGGTCACCCTGTCTGAAGTTGTTACAGGTTTCAGTCAAATCACGATTTTTGTTTCGATAGCAACATGAACCTACTTGATGCTGTTTTTGTTTGTTATTTTAGAATCAATGTTTTTCTTCCGCAATTAAATAACATACATGAAGTTTTCTCTATCTTCCACTGTTTTCAGGATACGGGCGTGTCTCAACTTGTAGCCATGTCTACCTATGCATGTATTTAACATTGTTTTATCAGTTCTTTAATTGTGTTATGGAAGCATTTGGAGATGGTCCACTCCAGTTCTGTCAACCAACATGTAGTCAAACAAAAATATGGTTGTAACTCTACACGTTTGCATATTTTCACAAATACTTAGTCCCGTCTTATATGGAAGGTCACAACTTGCAGCTCAGGCGAAACGTCAGTATGATGTTCGGACCCTGATTGCGTCACTGTACAGTGTAGTAGTCATGTACATATGTACAGTGCTGTGTACAGTATCATCTATACATCCCCTCCCCAGCACTTGAGTCCGACTCCGTTCTACCCACCTCTCTAGTCTTGCTGACGGAGCTATATGTTGATAGAGTGGTTAATATGTGCATATATTGTAGTGCAATTTATTTATAAATTTTTGTGCAAGGAACACCCCTCGGTCTTCATGATCGTGGCTTCACATGTAACTAGAATGAAGCTAGACACGTGACAGTTCGCCAGTCACTTACTTGATCAGTTGTGCTTGTCTTGTAAATATGAACTTTCCAACCCCTTTATAAAACCAGCTGGTTGTGACTTTATTTTAGTTTCACTTGCGAGTTATTTATTTGTAGTTATTTATTATTTAATATATGATATACAGTTAGTGAAAACAATGCTATATACATGTTGCTAAGAGTGTAATAATTGCTTACGCAGCAAAACCGAATATTCAGTCCCTCTCGTTTGCAGCAGGTTGTGATGCTGCAGGGTACAGTTATCTCCCTTAGCATGGTGGAGTACTTTCAGAAATATTCCAAAATGGCTGTGACTTGCATGCTTGCATTTCTTCTGTCGCTGACATCCTTTTGTTTGAGGTGATACCTAGTACCCTGATGTTTGTTCGGCAAGCCAACTGATCATATAAGTCTCTGCATCCTCACCTGGTGCCTGGTTTTGTTCCTGGTATTGTTTTAGCTGTACAGTTACCGCGCCTGCCCGGTCGTTGACGTGTGTACCTATGGATGGATGGACAGGCAGAGGAATGCTGTCTGACCTCCCAGTCTACAGGAGTCAAAGGTCATGTCAATGTTCATGCATGGTCAGTGTTAACAATCATAATACAAAAATAAAATCATAAAAATAGATCTTCCGTGTTTGTCTTCGGAGCGAAGTGTTATAAATGTAGGAAATATAGACTCCATGTTTGTGATTTGTTTGTTGGTAACATTGCACTCAGCAAAATTCCAGCTATATGATGGCGGTCTGTAAATAATCGAGTCAGGACCCAATCAAGTGATCAATATCATGAGCATCAATAACGCAACTCGGATAAGATGACATGTGTCAACCAAGTCAGCAAGCCTAACCACCCCATCCCATTAATTGCCTCTAACGACAAGCATGAATTGCTAAAGACCAGTTCTAAGAGAAGATCTGGGTTAGAATTGGTTTTCAGCAACCCATGCTTGTCATACTATTGGGGGCGGGTAGCAACCCATGCTTGTCATACTATTGGGGGCGGGTAGTCCGACTTGCTGACTTAGTTGAGACAGTGAGAGAATGGAGTGAGTGACATTTAAAGCAGCTTCAAGCAATATCACAGGAACACCATAAAACGGCATCACATAACATACCCATGTAGGGATTTGAACCAGTGTCATTCGTATAAAAAGTGGGGCCTCAACCACTTGGCTACTCCACTGCCCCTTTGTGTCCTGACTGTAAAAATGACAAACCAACAGTCATATATATTCTGAAATAGATGTTTATTTCATACAATTCCTATTGTCTCTGTATCACATGATAGGCAAATTTGTCAACAAAGTAACATCTGTACAATTACACAACAGAAATATAACCAGATACTCATGGGATACGGGGATGAAGTCAGATCTTCGATGTGATGAAGAAAGACACCAAGCTGTTGTCATATTTGATCCTGGGACATGCTTCCATAGAGTGATAATTCCATGTGGCTGTTGTGTCATGATGATAGCACTGAAACGTCATATACTGAGATCGTGGTACAACTTCTGAGCCCATTTTCAATATATGTCTACACTTTGTAATTAGTGCATTGCATAAAACGAGTAGTTAGGGCAATCAACTTTTTGCATGATATAACAAACAAAACATTAATGACATGTCATACAACTGTGCTATAATAAAATGGACTGAGTTTGGAGTGTCAAGCCTCCACATTTTGTAACTTATCTAGACCCAGTAATTTATACTTCAATAAATATATATACTTCAGATTTCCCACAACAGTTACATACTATGTATGTAGTATTAGAAATCCTTTTCTAAACCACAGTGTGTGTAAATAACAACTGGATATTGCAGAAAAATATGGATTGATAAGGAATGTGCATTATACTGTTATGAATCTAGTTGGATCCAGGTATTAACTGTAATGAGCCTGGCAAACTGAAAATAGTGTTCAGAATCTGTTAACCTTGAAGTGTATCTGAGGAACAAAAGGATGAATCAGGTGCCAGCTGTATGTATGCAGATAATTATTATATTTATTAACACTATCCAAGCTGAAACATTTTAGGCAGCACTTAATGGATAAACAAGTGGTTGATAGCATAAGCACCAAGCCATCTCCAGGGTATGATGATATTGTCGGCTTGGATTTGAAGATCATCATTAGCCTGAGTTTTCACAACACGTATGTTGCACTGATGGTCTATTCTGCCCATGAATCCACCTCGGATTGTAAGATGAGTGCAAGAGGCCTTTCTCCTGGCACAAGACATGAATCTGTCTATAACTTTTAATTATTTGTGAATAGTGAATGTCACCATTCTGGCTGGCATATCAGCTTGACGTGGAGAAAATGCTAGCTTGCTGTGGAAGGAAATCCTTAAGAGATGCAGATCTCAGAATTTTACCACTTTGGAGAAACCTATACAAATACAGGTATGCTGCTCACAAACGTGGAAAAATAGTCTGGACGAACCTGGGAGTGAGTGAGCGAGTATGGTTTATGCCGCTTTTAGCAATATTCCAGCAATATCACGGCTTCACACATTGTACCTATGTGGGGAATGGAACCTGGGGCAAACCTGATGAGCAAACACTTCAACCACTAGACTACCCTACCGCCCCTGGATGAACCTGGGATTCAAACCTACAAGAAATGATTCTGACAGGCCAAAGGGGTGTAACTCTGCATAGCCTATTGGGTCACCATAGAAAACTGGGCCATCATGTCCTCCAGATTCTGTTTGTGCAGCTGCAGCACTATCATGTTATATTGAGGCCCTCTGTGGTGTTACATTGTGAGACATAAAATAACACTGAAACATACTTGCCATGAACTGATGAAGTAAATGAAGCCTCTTTTGTCATACATTATCATGACAACAGTTTTGTGAAACATACGACATGTACTCTCTGAAAATATTTACAACAGTACTGAAACTGTAATCATACACGAATGATTCATTGATATCTTCAACAACTGTGACCAAAAGTAATAAAATATATTTCACAGCTGCCATAGTCTTTGATTTGCACTGTTGTTGAGGAACATGACAAACGTACATATATCGCTGGTATTCCTCATGCATAAGAAGTTCTACCTTATCAAATATCCAGGTTGGGATTAGGCCATTTTGAATAGTACTCCAGTTACATCACGTCATGTAAGCTTAATGTGAGAAGAAACATGAAGTGATGCAAGTCTGAACACTGGATGGCTTTGTGTTCCTTCATATGACACCATGCATGAATATTAGGCTTGTCCTCTTTGCAAACTATCAAACAATTATCATACCATGCTCAGTAAGAATTCCTGAAATATTTTTACCTATATCCGTGCCCTTCTAGGAAAATGCAAATAGTGGCTTCTTTTCATGGTGTCCCTTTATGTGGAACAGATCAGGGGTTAACTTGCACAAAACAATCTTAAGATGTATCCCGGATCAAAGAACATTCAAAGATACACATTGGCTGTAGCAGTATGAGAAAATCCACAGAAATGGGACCAGCCAAAATATGCATTATTGATATTAACAAGAAATAGGTAAAGATATAATACAAATCCTTAAAGGACCCTCATAACTGGCTGTGGTTGTGACACTAAATTGGCTTTGTGCATGTGGACCAACATCACCAAGGTAATATGGTAACCTATCATTGTAATATAGCAGCCATTCTTGTAACTAAATAATCTTTCATGTAATGCAGTACTCTTTCATGCAACACTTATTTTCACATAATACAGTTATCGTGACAATATTCAAACATTCCCAAAACACAGAACAATCTTGTTCATTATAAAGTATCAAAAAAGCAGATTTTACAGAACTTCACAATTATGGTAAGAATGTTACTTTCCTGGCCTGTTTGCACGATTAAAATGATTCCTTTGAAGACAGGTCATAATGGCAGGTATACTAGCTGTCATAAACTATCAGACAAATCATCGCGATCTTATCCTGACATTATATGCTTGACCTGCATCCCAATCTGTTTCAGGTATGACCTTAGAGTGAGAAAATACAGCCTGATTTGAGTCAAGTGTTTGTGTGCATGCAGTCAAATATCTGCACCTAGCAATCAAATTCCTGACATTTATAGCATCCTTTTTACATGTTGTTTTCAGTAAACAGGAATTTCTATTCTGGTAGTCAGGGGTGGAATAACCCATTGCCCGACGTCCGAGTCCAGTGTTTTTTTCTGTCGGGCAAACAAATTTGTATATCACGCTGTACCGGTGTCCAGTTGACTTTCCAATGTTGATAATTTTGTTTATTTACAAAATCAACAAGAAAACGGCCAGTATAGAGGAAACATTATCAGGGCAAGTGACTTTACATGTGCCACTCTACCGGAGTACACTAGCAATTTTAAAGTTATTTCCACTCCTGGTAGAATACAAGATGGTTGTTCAATGCTGAACTCAGCAATATTCCAGCTAAATGGCGGCAGTCTATAATTAATCGAGTCCGGGCCAGACAATCCAGTGATCAACATCATGAGCATCCATCTACACAATTGGGATACAATGACAGTGTACAACAAACAAACCAACCTCTGAAGATGCTTATCGTTTTCGTGTTAACTGGTCTGTGTGCTGGGAATGGTTTCTTATTATGAAATTTTGAGAAAGACATTTCTGCTATTAGTATTTTGCAACCTCAAGATGTACATTCTGTAAATGAAACTGCAGAAGACAGGCTCTCTGTCAGACAACATACCTATGAGACAATTTCATTACTGACATACTGGTACCACATAGAAACGGTTACACTCCCTATCTGTACTGTGATTTCTCACCGTGATTCTAACACACAACAAAATATCTGAAAATAGTTCTGCATTACATGACTCACAATCAGAACTGCTCTTGATAAAAATATATAAATCTGTAATTCAATTAAGACAGGTGGAAATGGAAAACATCTAACATTCATATCACATTAATATTGCATTCAACATGGGAAAAACTGGATGTGGTGCTCAAAGGCAAATAAAACTTTCTTCTGACTTCAGAAATCTGTTATATACATACATACACCCTGTTTAAACATCCCACAAAAAAGTAACCTAAGTTAAAAGATATTAAAAATGTTCCAAGGATGACTGTACTTAAAATGTAATTTGAATAAAACATTTTATTTTATTACACATGTTCTGCTGAGATTTTGCAAGCATAGGAAAACATGATTTCTATGAACCGATGTTAATATCAATATAATATCCAGATAGTTATAATAGAAATAATATCACAGAAAACTGTCTTGTAATGGCAAAACATTTTTCAAAATAACCTGCAAACTACATTACAAATTTACATTAACATTTGTCAACCAAAACAACATGTTTGTGCCACACAGGCTATCTTCAATATCATAATGATAATAATAATATTGTCTGCTTGTATTGCGCTTGCTATTGAGTGAGTGAATTGGGTTTCACGCTGCTTTTAGCAATATTTCAGCAATATCACGGCAAAGGACACCAGAAATGGGCTTCACACATTGTACCCATGTGAGGAATTGAACCGGGTCTTCGGCGTGACGAGCGAACGCTTTAACCACTAGGTTACCACAGTGCCCCTTACATGCCGTTGAAAATCTTACGAGGTTACAGTTTTATGTTTTCAAAACTGACATGGCAAGCTTTTCTGAGATCTAAGGTACTTTAATCAGTGGTTTGTTATCATTCAAATGTGTTTATGTATGTGAATGTGTTTGATTGCTGAACTTTATGTGCACTTCAATAACGTATGCTATCATTGTCTCGACACCCTACCAGTGACTGAACACCATTAAAGGCCACGGTCTCGACACCTTACCAGTGACTGAACACCATTCAAAGACCATTGTCTTGACACCTTACCAGTGACTGAACACCATTCAAAGACCATTTTCTGGACACCTTACCAGTGACCGAACACCATTCAAAGACCATTGTCTGGACACTGTACCAGTGACCGAACACCATTCATAGACCACTGTCTGGACACCCAGCCAGTGACCGAACACAATTATAAAAAACCCTGTCTGGACACCCTACCAGTGACCGAACACCCTACCAGTGACCGAACACCCTACCAGTGACCACTACACAAAGACCATGAGGAACATCCTTCAAAGTATGTATCGCAGTGACATGTGATTCCAATAGTAAATATTCTCCAAGCAAAAATAATGTCTATGTATCTATACACAAAATATAGTCTTAGTCAAATACAAAAGAGTAACTTAGTTGCTCTATGTGATTATTTAGACGTCTTCACCTGGAATATTGTTTGAGGAATACTGGCATTTGTCAGACCATACTCCTGTAATTGTCTTCCCCCCCCCCACGTTCATCACACTCTTCCTAATGTACTTTCAGTAAGAGATCCACATCATTGATGGTGATATTCTGACAGCAGCTGTTCATCATTCTGACCACCCGTCAGCAGACTCTCTTGATCACCATTAAAATTATCGTAAGTGGTCACACTCCTGAGTTCTCCATTAGAACTGGACACTGCCTCTTTCCGCGCACTGGCTAGTGTTGATATACTAATATTCTGGTCCTTGAAGGCATTAAGTAGGAATATTCCTGATATAATCGTCAAGAAGCCGCACATATTTCCCACAATTGCCTTCACCTTCATGTTGCCAAACTCTTTGTAGAGGATGAGCGATGCGGCTATCACAGCAGACGTGAAAAACACATAGTAGATCGGCGTAACAACCGCCGTGTTGAAAGTGTCCAGAGCACGATTGAGATAGTTGAGCTGGATAAGTATGCAAACGACCACCACTGCCAGGAGCACGTATGTCAGGTAGTTTGTGAACTCGTTCCTGCCGCGGAACGTTTCCTTGATTGCTACACCCACTCCTTTGCAACCCATGACGGTGAAAGACCCCAGGACGGAACAGATGGTGATGTATACCAGAGGATTCTTGTTGCCGTAGCGAGGGACGAAGTAGAATATCCCAATTATAGCTGCCGCTATTACGAGGATACCAAAAACGATGAACACTGAAAGATCAAGTAAAACATATGCTCAGTGAAATAACCATGAAACTACTGTTTGTACTGCCGTGCGAAAAACTAAGCTTGAAGGTTTCAGGAGTGATGGAAGGTAAGAAAGTTAGATGGGTCCTTAAGGAAGGGAACATCCAAATCTTTAACATTTAACTTATGACAAGGATGACCCGTGAAGGTCTGGGTTAGAATTGGATTTCAGCAGTCCATGCTTGTCGTAAAAGGCGACTAATGGGATCAAGTGGTCAGGCTCGCTACCTTGGTTAACTCTGCAATACTGCAGCTATATGATGGTGGGCTGTAAATTATCAAGTTTGGACCAGACAATTCAGTGATCAACAGCGTGAGCATTAATCAAGTCAGTGAGTCTCACCACCCGATCCCATTAGTCGTCTTTTGCAACATGCCTGGGTTGCTGAAGACCAATTCTAACCCGGATCTTCACAGGTTATGTACAGATGAAGAATGTATCAACAAAATGCCTGATATGTGATGGCAGCCTGTAAATAATCAAGTCAATCCGCTTGTCAATACTGTGCACAATGACTCATGCTATCAGGGTTGGGGAACACACTCAGCGAAGTCGCCATACCTGACTACCCAATCTAGTTAGTCACCTCTCAATTACAGGAAACGTTACCAGGGACCTATTCTAACCTGGAATTACCATATAGGCCAACCCTTATGACAACCAGAGTGGTAGCCACCATTATTCTCCAAATCTGATATCACTGGCTTTGTTGGAGAGACATGGCATTGGGCACATTCTTGTGATTTATTTGCTTTGAATCTTTTATATCTCTATATGTCTGAGATGAAATATATCTACAAGATATATGGGATGACAATCAGCAGGGCTCGATTTGTGATTTGTTACTTGCACTGGTGCAACCCAATATTACAAAGTGCAACCTAGTTATTTGTCTAACTTGCACCAGGTGCAAGTAATTTTTGAGTGGGTAAACTTCTGAATAAAACATCTAAATAATTCAATAGCATATTTCTGATATTACATATTGCATTAAAAACAGTGCAACTGGAATTTGACTGGTGCAACTAGGTTTTATCTTAGGTTGCACCTGGTGCAAGTGGGTTAACATCTCCTAAATCGAGCCCTGATCAGTCAATGTTCTAGTGATGAATCAATCTGAAACCCTGCACATCAGACTGGTACACAGGTACAGATAAGCTGAGTATCTGCGTAAATTACGCAAATATTTATGTGAAAACTCAATTCCTATTAAGTCTATTGCGTACAAGTACGCTTGAACGTTTGTAAATACTCAATAAATTTGGACAGAATTTACCGAGGACAGATCATATAACTGAGGTATACTGAGAGGTTCTATTTCCACACATGAACTTGGCAACTTGCAGTCTTTCTTATCGTTTCTCACATAAAAGATCAAATATAAATAACAAACACGTAAACCAACATTTAAACTTTATAATATTTTTACAATGAATTGAAAATGGCAAAATACCCAGTTGTGTTTGAGTGAGGTGGGTACAATTTATTTGGTTACTCAAATGAAAATTAGGATACCCAATTGAGATGAACACAAGCGAGTACATAACTCAATGACCCAAAAAGTTATCTGTAGCTCTGCTGGTAGTCTGCAAAATAAGGTGTTGCATGATTTGGCCTCTAGATTTTCGCTTGAACTAATGGACAAGTTGCAAAGTTAAGCTCTGAGTCCCATGCCACAAAGAGATCTTATCATTACGACCATCGTAAGCCTATGTTAAAGTAGAAAGTTACAATCATCTGACGTCTAAGATAGCTTTGTGGAACAGGGACCTGGGTTCCGATCCACAAAGTGTTTGTAGCGCTACAACGTTCGTAGGCCTATGATAAACTATAGAGTTACGACAAGTCGAAACCTGGGTCCCGTTCCACAAAGCGATCATAGCGTTAAGATGATCGTAACTCATACTCATACTTTAACATAGACTGTCCCACTGATATGATCGCTTTGTGGAACTGGGACCTGGGTTCCGATCCACAAAGTGTTTGTAGCGCTACAACATTCGTAAGCATATGATAAACTATAGAGTTACGACAAGTCTAAACCTGGCCCCCGTTGCACAAAGCGATCATAGCGCTAAGATGATCGTAACTCATACTTTCACATAGACTGTCAGAGTGCTATGATCGCTTTGTGGAACTGGGACCTGGATGGATTTGCAGCTGGTTCTACCCACTTGGTTCGACGAGTTTCGTCTTGAGTGCCTCCATGCTGCCGACCTCCTGCTCCTTGGGGGAGTGTATGACCATGACAGTGGAGCCGAGGATACATAGCAGACACCCGACCTTCCCCAGCAGGTTCAGGTGCTCCTTCAACACCCGCGATGCCAGCACAACGCTGCAACAACACAACATCCAGTACAGACACAATGGTAGACCTTATCCAGGGTGTGTGTGTGTGTGTGTGTGCGTGCGTGCGAGAGCGAGAGAAAGAAAGAGAGAGAGTTCTACACTACTGGAATCTGTCTTCCAGACCGTAAAGAATAACTTCCAAAAGGAGTCAATTTCCAGTTTGGAACAACTGTGTAAGTCTGGACTGTCTCAGACAATAGGAATTGGCTTTGCATTAAATCAGACAACTTTATTTCTGTGACTAAATGTCACTCTATTGGGATTCCAAACTGAGTATCTTTATACTTAGATCAGAGTGAAGAACAATGACAATTATTATGGATATACAACTTGTGTTATTCTGTGGAGGCGACGTTTCGACATAGATTCTAATGTCGTTGTCAAGCAAGTGATACATGAGTAACAAATTGAGAGAATATATACAGGAGTTGTTGTTACAGTAGATAGGGAATGAGTTGTTTATACAATAGATGAGGTTGATGTACAACGTTTGTATGAGAGATCGAGTAAATTGATAGGAAGCGAGTAGGGTGACATACAAGGACTGAATTAGAGCTCATACAACAACGTCACCTCCACAGAATAAAAGAAGTTGTATATCCATAATAACTGTCATTATTCTTCATCAACTCAACTTCTAAAATGCCCATCAAAGAAGTTAGAACAGAGTGGTATTCAAAATAGGAATTTTGTAATTTGCATTATCTTAGCATTCCACATGCACGATCAATACGACACTGACATCATAGCATCTTCCTCTATATTGATCCTGTTATCACTTGGTGAAAGTAACCTTTGCAAGGCCATACAATCACTAACTTTTAATTAATAACCTTTGAATTGTTTTAGTCACAGACTTATTAGCCAAATATCAGCATCTAAGCAAGTTAACATAAATCAATATTAATGCAGTAATACCAGCTGTTCCATGTCAGCCTGTAAATATTCTTCCTTTCAAAAGTTTTAACTCACTTAAAACACTCACTATATGTTATGTATGTATATCGAAGATTGATTTCTCCACTAACTTGGGGGAACCAACTGCAAACCTTATGCAGATGAATTGGAAGAGGGTCATGCATCAAAACTGCTTAAAAGCATATGCAAAAATTGTAACAGCTGTTTAACGAATTTGCCAATTTTCACTGAATTTTATCATATATTGAACTCATGAAAATAATCTTTTTAACTTAACGAATTTATTTTACAATACATCAGTTCATGTGTAAACATTACCTTTAAACAGTATGAAATATTTTGCAAAATTTAGTTTGGAACAGTTGCCTGAAGTAAGTGGCTATTAATTACACTAGTGAGTCTAAACTTTTGAAAGGAAGTATAAATCAAGAGTAGTCTCCCTTGACATTTGTTCAGAGAACAGGGTCGTCTGTGTTATTCTGCTCTCACCTTATAAGTACACTTAAGGCTCCCAGAGGAGTTACCAGCGTGGCCGGAGCAAAGGCATAGGCAGCAAAGTTGGCAAATTCCCCAACAATCACTGAAACATGATCAGAAATATATCAAGTATTACATTGCTTTCAAAAGGATACAAATTTCTAAATAGACACAAAATTATCAGGTGTTGGCGAGAAATCCAGTGATTGATATCATGAACAAAGATCTACATGGAGTCAAATAGGTCACCCAGTCGGAAAATGTGATCCATTAAATAACCTATTATAACCTGCACAGGATGCTTGGTACCTATGTCAACCCAGCATCCAAACTGGGGTCACATCATCCAAGACACCAAGAAGTGGAGGGAACACTATAGATAAATTCTCAATAATAAAAACAAGAAGTATAAGAGATTTCTACAATGTGTTACAGTTCCTTTACTTCCTAAAAGAATGCCATTTAGAAAGTGATCCAATGTCACATTTGGCTGAACCTTGTGAAGATCCAGGTTAGAATTGATCTTCAGTAACCCATGCTTGTCATATGAGACGACTAACAGGATTGGGTGGTCAGGTTCACTGACTTGGTTGACACATGTCATCGTATCCCAATTGCATAGATCGATGCTTATGCTGTTGATTGCTGGATTGTCTGGTCCCGACTCGATTATCTACAGACCGTCACTATACAGCTCGAATATTGCTGAGTGTGGTGTAAAACTAAACTCAGTGACTCATTATGGCTGAATAGGTGACATTGTTGTTTTTGTGTGTAGGTGATTAACAGCCTGACTCTGAGAGTGTGGGTCCACATCCTGGATGGGACTCAACCCCCTAAAGTGAGGTGAGGTGAGGTGAAACTGGGTTTAACGTCACGCTGGAGAATATTTCGCTCATATGACGACGTGCATGCGTGTGTATGTGTAGGTGCGGCTGCTTGTACTAGCCCAGACTTAAGCTGGTTTTATAGTGCTAGCCCACTGAGATACCATGCCGCAGTGAAGCATGAATACCCCTCTCAGACACATTATACTGACTCCACGAGCCGACCAGTCCTTGTTGTACCCATTAATGCTGAGCCAGGCAGGGACCAACAAGTACCATATTTTATAGTCTTTTGGTATGATGCGGTCGGGGATCGAACCCGCGACCTTCCGCTCTCCGGGCGGACGCTCTAACCACTACACCACGGAGGCGGTGCCCCCTAAAGTACTATAATGAGGAAGTGTATACTCAACATTAACTTTGGTTAATCTATCAAGTGTATACTCAACATGTAACTTTGGCAACATGAAAGAATTGGGTGCTCTTTAACTTCTTCTGTGTAGCATAATTGTTTAGTATATCATTATAAAGACGTACCATTCAACATGTTTGACCGCTAACATTTATCGAATGTACTTAAAAAATACACTCTACAGTATCAGTGAGTATGGCTTTATACCACTTTTAGCAATATTCCAGCAATATCCCGGCGGGGGACACGGAAATGGGCTTCACACAATGTACCCATGTGGAGAATCAAACCCAGGCTTTGGTATGACAAACACACACTTTTACCACCGCCCCTTTAACAGTATGAAACAACAATATCATTTCCTCGAAGCCTGTTTCTGCCTGCTCTGTGTTCATCTACCACTACACAGTGTAAATGACTCAGGGAAATGTGATATCAACAATTACCAGTAACATAGTAATAAAACGGAGCTGCTCAAAGACCACAAACATTGTCATTAGCCACTAAAAACACCATCCTTGTCATTTATTATTGGCTTAATCAATAAAATTTACATCTTGACATTAAGTGAGTGAGTGAGTGAGTGAGTGAGTGAGTGAGTGAGTGAGTGAGTGAGTGAGAGTGGGTATGGTTGGGTGGGTATGGTTTAACCCGCTTTTAGAAACATATTTCAGCAATATCACAGCAACACCAGAACACCAGAAATGGGCTTCACACATCGTGCCCATGTGGGGAATCGAACCTGGGTCTTCGGCACGATGAGCCAACGCTTTAACCACTAGGCTACCCCCCGCCCCAATAACAAGGGCAATCAGGATTTTACATCATTTAAAACAAAAACAATTGTGCGTTGGATCAGCTGTAAATTAACACAAAATCTGACTTTAACTATCAAGGACAACCATAGCATACAGCCTTACCATTCAGATTGTGATCAATGTAAGTGAAAATATATTTGTAGAAGTTACTGTGGTTCAGGTGAGCTAACACTTCAAACACAAATCAAATTTAACAGCTTGAAGGCTCCATCTTGCACAATGTTGGATCAACAGATCGTGACGGAAAACAAAACAGATTTCCAACAATTCTCCAAGGAATATGTTGTCATGTGAGGAATATTGACTGTGAGCTTGACATACTTGTTATACAGGCGTTCATTGATTTATTGACTGCCAAGACCTCCTCCTGTGTAGATCCACTCATATATAATACATCTGAGGTTACTGCGATGTAACCAGGTACCGGCGCTACCTGTCTCTAGTTGCCATGGCAACGGCAGTATGGCACTGGGTTATTACCTGTGGTCAATAGCACTCAATACTTATGAAAGTTGTTGGGAAAAATAGACAGACTGCACTGCAAGACTTCACAAGAAACGTGTGTTGAGCATGTATGTAAAAGCTACACTGCCATTCTCCAACAAGAATGTGTGTTATGCATGCATTTAATGGCTGCACTGCCAGATTCCACCGGAGCTTCATGTTTGTTTGTTTGTTTGTTGTTTAGAAAGTGATCAGCTGTATTCCAGCCATATGGCGACAGTCTGTGAATAATCAAGTCTGGACCATGAATACACAATGCCATTTAGAAAGTAGTCAAATGTAACATAAGTTATATTTGGGAGTACACTTTCTCAGTAAAGTACAGATTCTAGCACTTTTGTTGGGTTGAGTCCCATTCGGGATTCGAACCCCCTTTGTCAGGCACATAATGAGCAACATACAAACCCAGTCGCCAAACCGGATCAGTCACAGCATCTTCCACTTCTGGACCAGACAATCCAGTAATTAACAGCATGGGCATTGCTATCCAGAATTCGGATACAATGACATGTGTCAACCAAGTCAATGAACCTGACCACCCTATCCTGTTAGTCACGTCTTATGACAAGCATGCATGAGTTGCTGAAAACCAATTCTAACACGGTTATTCATGGGTGGAGTGAGTGAGTTCATGTTTTATGCATTTTAGCATTCATGGGTGGAACTTCATGTTGTGCATGCGTACTGACACATTGTAAACAAAATATGTAACAATCTATCAACAGAATTTAGTCTGTGGCTAAATACACGTGAAATATCTTAACCCAGAATAAGTATTAATCACATGAACCTAAGTTCATTTACTTTCCAAAATTCACAATTATTCACCCTCTTGGTCCCCAACCAACACCCATGAGGCATAAACAGTATCACTGGACTTGCTTCTGTGTTGTTGTCTGTCTGTACATACACAATGCCTGTCAGAAAATGGTCAAATGTAAGAGTGTGAGTGAGTGTCTGTACAATACACAATGCCTGTCAGAAAATGGTCAAATGTAAGATGTTATTTGGAATTAGTAAACTCTGGGGTTGAGTCTCATCTGGGATTTGAACCCACCCTATCAGAGTGAGGCACCTAATCAGCAATCTAACCCACTCAGCTACCACAAAAATGGAAGTCTGACATCTGGTAGTCTGGATCACCTATTTTATGTACACCTCTGACAAGCATAAATTGGCATGGCTCCTGTGGCTGAAAGCTATGAATACAAAATGCTTTCCAGACAGTGGACAAATGTAACATATGTTGTATTAGGGATTCTACTTTCTCAGTAAAGTACAGCTTGGAGTACAGGGGTGGAAAAAACTTTAAAATTGATAGTGGAGTAAAGTCTTGCCTGATCATTTTTCAACTATACCAACCGTTTTCTTGCTGATTTTTTTAATAAACAACATAATTAACATTGGAAAGGCAACTGGACACCGGTACAGTGTGATATACAAATCTGCTTGCCCGACAGAAAAAAAACACTGGACTCGGACGTCGGGCAATCATTGGGTTATTTCCACCCATGGAGCACTTTACCAAATAGAATATACGTTATAGTTGTATGTGTGGTATCCATTTTTTTAATTTGGGGGGGAAGTTTACACTATGCTACGATCACAGTCAACTACATTGTCAAATCTAACAAGTCCAAGCTGTCCATAACAGTCATGTTGCCCCATACACCACCCCACCCCCCACTGGAAATTTTACCCCCGAACAAGTGTGTGTGGCTGGTAGTGCTAACTCAGTCTAGCCTGCTTTATAGCGTTAACCCATCAGGCTGTATTTGAAAACTGATACCACTCTGACACAGTTAAAGCTGAGTCTGAGCTGAGGAGATGTTGTTTTATCCCCTTAGTGCCAAGCACCAGCTGGGCAACAACAAGTACCATCTCGTAACATTGTTGGTTGTTTTTTTGTTTAATGCCGCACTCAGCAATATTCCAGCTATATGGCGACGGTCTGTAAATAATCGAGTCTGGACCAGACAATCCCGCGATCAACATCATGAGCATCGATCTGCCCAATTGGGATAACGATGACATGTGTCAACCAAGTCAGCGAGCCTGGCCACCCGATCCCGTTAGTCGTCTCTTACAACAAGCATGGGTTACTGAAGACCAATTCTAACCCGGATCTTTACGGGTCTAATGAATATTTTTAACATTTTTGGTATGATACTGCCAGGTGATATAACCATGCACCTTCAGCTCTAGAGGCAGATGGTTTATATGAAGTGCTTTGTGCCATTTGGAGGCAATCTCTGTATGGGACTTGAATAATCATTCATTGCCAGACTGACATACACAACACATACATAATTAAATGTTTGTTAGCAGACATGACTGTCTATTCCCTCGTTACTTTGCCAAGCACAACCTCTTGTGACAGCAATGGATTACACTCTTGATTACTTTGATACATCCATGTCATCGCCCCAGAAAGACAATTCTGTTCCCTAGAGGTACATCTTGCTCTGTATTCCCAGCCATTGTATGAGACAAGCTGGTTTGTTGTTTAACGCCACACTCAGCAATATTCCAGCTATATGGCGGCAGTCTGTAAATAATCGAGTCTGGACCAGACAATCCAGTGATCAACAGCATGATCATCGATCTAAGCAATTGGGACATAATGATATGTGTCAACCAAGTCAGCGAGTCTGACCACCCAATCCCATTAGTCACCTCTTACGACAAGCATGGGTTGCTGAAGATCAATTCTAACCCGGTTCTTCATGGGTTGTATGAGACAAGAAAGAGAAAGAGATAGGAAGACTTACTGAGGATCATGCCTGCCCACCACATCCATTCTTTGAGGTAACCATACCCGCCTTGGCCTGCAACACAACACAAGTCAGGATCACAACACTGGCAAACACTACATCATATGTAAGTGCAAGCGTCTGTTCACATTATTTAGATCAGGGTGCAATATCAAATATATTAGAAGAGGTACTGTATCCTGCAATGATGTCTCATTTCATAAAGAGATATTATTGGAAATAAAGACAAATTATATTCAGTGGTCCATGGAATGATTATTTACTCCGCAGCAATGGCTCATCCAGCTTTGTTGTCAAGTTGAACCTTTTATCTGTTGCTGCTACATTTGTATTGTAAATGGGTGAAGCTAAACTATTCTTCTTCTTCAGACATATTGTTGCAATCTTGTCTCAGGTGGACTTTTGGATACAAATTCAGTCCAGACAACAATGGCTCTCCAGCTTTGTTGTCAGTGAACCTTATCTAGATTGTATTGATACAAACTATTCAATGCAGACATAAAGTGAACCAATAGACTTGCTCAGGTGGACTGATACAAATTCAGTCCAGACATGAAATGAACCCCTTCAGGTGGACTGATACACACTCAGTGCAGACATACAATAAACCTGCTCAGGTGGACTGATGCGAATTCAGTCCAGACATGAAATGAACCCCATCAGGTGGACCGATACAAATTCAGTCCAGACAGGAAATGAACCTCGTCAGGTGGACTGATATTTGTTCTGACAAATAACTAAAACTGACTGACACACATTCAGTGAAGACAAAAGCTAGCCAGCCCTTAAGGAGTGATACAGATGAGCGCACATACAAAAGTCTCACCTGCTCTTGTGGACTGCTGTTTGGCGAGACGGAGCAGGCCAAGTTTCTTGAAGATGAAACTGCTGCCGATGAAAATGCTTGAGCTGATAGCGAGGGACAGGCCGATGTAGAAGTCCCTCATATCCTGCTGCTTCTGCTGACTATCACTCGTCATGTTGCCTGTTGTGTTGACCGTTGTGTTGAGATCAGGACTTAGTGTGCTGCCATGCAATAGCATGGATTCCTCAAATACCTTATAGACAAATATACTTCTGTTAAAACACACCTACTAATAAATACCAGTTTTATACAAACTTTCTCAAGACAGAAAACACTTTATGAGACACTGATTGACTGAATGGTATTCAATGCTGCCATCAGCAATTTCACAGATATTTCATGGCAGCTTGTTAAAAACTCGAATCTTGGTGTGGTCAACCAATTGCAAGCATCATGAGCTTCAATCCACAGGTGGGAAAAAGTGAAGTGAGTTTAGTTTTACGCTGCACTCAGCAATATTCCAGCTATATGGCGGGTAAGAAGACACATATTGGGACGGGTCATACATTGTGACCAATCAATCCACAATCAATCCACAAGTTAAAATCAGGACTAGCAAATGAAACCAGGAAGAAATTCATTTTAAAAAATTACACCATTTGTAATCAGTAATTATTATAGAAATTTATAAATGAATTATACAAAATTCTGCTGAAAGAAAACATTCAGGTGGAAAGAAAGTAAAAAGCACAGAAACAGAAGTTAGGAAACACCACCACACTTATGTGCTAGACACAATCACTAACTGCAAGCTATGCAATGACAGGTATATTCTTTACAATAAATATTCACACACATTCATTTGATTCGGTTCATATTCTTGAACACCAAGATTTTAACGCCACACTCAATAATTTTCCAGCTATACAGGGTTTTACGGGATGCATGATTCCTGCGTATTGGACGCAGAAATTTGATGAAGTACCCCCAAACTAAAATCCTGTGTCCTTATGAATGCAATATAATTTTTTTCTGGGACAGAACTTTCTGAGTTAGTAATGATATCCCATATTAAAATATATACATTCTGTTTACAATCATTATTCTAATGACATTGAAAGTAGCACATATTATAACATAATCATTATCAAATGCGAAGCATCCATTATCATTGATTTCATGCAATTTGATGGACTCCCAATTTTGGAAATGGACTCTCAGAATACATATGCCCTGAGTCCCTAGAACTCCCACTTTCGAAGAGCTATGTAAAACCCTGGCTATATCACTGTAGTCTGTACATAATCAAATCTGGACCAGACAACCCGGTGACTGATATCATGAGCACTGGTTTTCACAACTGGGGTACAATGTCATACAACAACTAAGTTAGCAAGCACGACTGTTAGTTGCCTCTTGTGACAAGCATAGGTTGCTAAAGACCAATTCTAACCCATATCTTCACAGGTCAGATGTAACACGTAATGAACGAAACAGCATGTGTTTTCAGATCTGAGGGTGTCAGTCAGTTTAGCCAGGGAAGGACAGGTAAGGTATCTTTCGTGACATTGGAAACTGTAACTTTTCAGATAATGCAAAACTCTGAAACTGTATCACAAAGCTGTGGTATATTGATATGATTGACAACTAGGGACTATTTCCGACAGATGTAAATCTTAGAGTTATGTGAACTATTGATTATGGACACAGAAAACGTTCAATCATTCAATGCAAATCAAACTAAGAGTAAGTGAGTGAGTTTATTTTACGCCGCTTTTAGCAATATTCCAGCAATATCACGGCAGGGGACACCAGAAATGGGCTTCACACATTGTACCCATGTAGGGAATCAAACCCGGATGAGCGAACGCTGTAACGACAGGGGTACCCCACCGCCCCATCAAATCAAGAACATGTCCATGAAGACATAACTGACTTATGGATTACAGCCATTACCCTCACCGTGAAACTCTTAGGTAAAGATGCAAGTTACTTCAACAATGGCTGTATTGTCTCAGGGACTATGATCTATCCTGAAATACGTCTTGAAAGAGTAACTAAGTTGTCATCGTGAGGTCAATGACTGGTATGACAGCTTGTAGTGAGTTAGTGAGTTTAGTTTGACGCCACACAAAGCAATATTCCAGCTATATGGCGGCGATCTTAAATAATTAAGTCTGGACCAGACTATCCAGTGATCAACAGCATGAACATCGATCTACGCATCTGGGATGCAATGACATGTGTCAATCAAGTCAGCGAGTCTGACCACCTGATCCCGTTAGTCACCTCTTACAACAAGCATGCGTTTATAGTTTGTAAATGCCACTTATATAACAGATGCATGACTCAAGGTGAAGTTTTCATTTTGTACTGTCTTTGTCATGTGGCCTCATCTCCGTCAAGTACATCAGCTTGACCCAGTATCTGTGTCAGTATTAACCAAATATCACCTGTGACAGTGTACTGCAGTACATCTGGTGACACTTCAAACATCAATACATCAACACTATGATGAATGAATAGTCCATGAGACCATCTCATTTCAGACAACATGATTGATTTTCATCCCAAATTCATTCCCTTACATTTTGTATTCTATGTTCGTGTGTTCTGTGTGTGAGCGTGTGTTTTCTCTGTGTGTGCATGTGTGTGCTGTGTGTGTCTGTGCCTCTGTGTGTTTGTGGTGGTGTGTCTGTTCTTCTCTGTGTGTGTGTCTGTTGTCTGTGTCTCGGTGTGTCTGCCACTATAAAAAAGTAAAAACACCCAATTATTTCACATTGCTATCATTATTATATGTAGGCCACATTACTGACTGAGTTTGGTTTTATGCCGCTTTTAGCAATATTCCAGCAATATCATGGCGAGGGACACCAGAAATGGGCTTCACACATTGTACCCATGTGGGGATTCGAACCCGGGTCTTCGGCGTGAGGAGCCAACGCTTTAACCACTAGGCTACCCCACAGCCCAGTAGGCCACATTAACAACAGTCACAGGAATGAAGCAGGTGCTTCTAACTTCTCCTGATCTCCTGGTATAACAAATACCAAACAAGAATATCCTATCAACATTGGCAATTATGGAAATATCGTGACACTATCTGTGTACATTGTGCCTATAGCACTGTACAAATGTTGAATCAAACCTGGTTTTCAGCCTGATGAGCCAACACTTTATCCCCTAGGCTACTTGCCTGACCCAGATCCACCCTGTGTGTTTGAATGTCCTTGGCCCCTGTACATTCATACGCAGGTGGCGTGCTGTGATATATATATATATATATATATATCAACAACATAATGAGTTATACTGACACATTCCAACAAATATATTCATGATAATGATTTTGTGTGCTGTCATGCATGGCAATTACTAGAGTACCGGTACATGTTTATACTCTGAATGCTGATGAAATAACCAAGCTATTCAAACTCAAATTGAAATTTTACATTCAGTATGACAGTTTAAAACAATAAAAACAAAGGCTTTTCACAGTCTAACCAATGTAATGCATAACCCATGACCAATTCTATGAATCGGTTATGATGTCTGAAGCACCAGAGGTGGTATATGACAAATATTTCCACAAATTAATTTTGATACAATTTCTACAGTATTGAAAATTAAGCAAGAAGTCAAGTGGTCAGTGAGAAAACCTGAATATTAACCACCAATTATTTTGTGGTTGCAGCGTCAATACAGATTTCAAAATTTAAGACTAAGGGAGACATTTGTATTCTGCTCCAACAAAGAGGCCCTAACTTTTAACATTAGGGTTATGAATAGAGACCCTTGATTCTAATGCTTACTAATATAACATCAGCATACCATAGAAGGCCTTGCAGTCTACATAACCCTATAATTTCAAACAGTTCTACACAGGACCCACCAAGGAATTGTGTGACTATACTTGACAATAGGCACATGTAAGTATAGTATTTATAACTACTACAAACATTCAGAAACAGAAATATGTGTTTGGTTGTCACAACACTATATAATACCACAGCTGGGAGAGGTTGACATGATAAAACATGACATGTGTTTCATGTATGTAGAACAAAAATATCATGTTTAACGTTGGGACCCAGCAGAAAGAAAAATGGCAAGAGTCACATGTTCTGTGAAGCAGACTGATCAGACTAACGCTTGGTGTCTGCAAATAAATACTCTCAACAGAAACCAAAATTTCATTTGAAGTGAAAAGGGGCCCACTGAGGAGGGAAATTCAGGACCTGAACCTGAGAAAAATACACTTGCTTTATTAAGGGCTTCTGCATTGCAGGAAGGGCTGTTTTTTTAAGAATCATCGGTAAGAATACTCCATCTAAATATTTCTACATGTATATGAATTATATATTCACTTGTATCTTTATGCAATCTATTTGCATATATACATAATGTATTATTTATTCATCTGTATATATGGCGTATATAACTATATGATATATTTAATAGTAACACATCTGTAACCTCATATGCAACTGTCTGCAGCCTTAGTTGAAATAAAGTTCAGTTCAGTGCTAGGGAATTGATATGGTTCAGGTTCCTGTTCCACAAAGACTACAGACTTCACATTGATATGAACGTTAAATCATTTGGAACAGGGTCCAGGGACTGTGAGACAGACTTCACGTTGATATGAATGTTAAATCATTTGGAACAGGGTCCAGGGACTGTAAGACAGACTTCACATTGATATGAACGTTAAATCATTTGGAACAGGGTCCAGGGACTGTGAGACAGACTTCACATTGATATGAACGTTAAATCATTTGGAACAGGGTCCAGGGACTATGAGACAGACTTTACATTGATATGAATGTTAAATCATTCGGAACAGGGTCCAGGGACTGTGAGACAGACTTTACATTGATATGAACGTTCAACCATTTGGAACAGTGTCCAGGGACTGTGAGACAGACTTCACATTGATATGAACGTTAAATCATTTGGAACAGGGTCCAGGGACTGTGAGACAGACTTCACATTGATATGAACGTTAAATCATTTGGAACAGGGTCCAGGGACTGTGAGACAGACTTCACATTGATATGAACGTTAAATCATTTGGAACAGGGTCCAGGGACTGTGAGACAGACTTCACATTGATATGAACGTTAAATCATTTGGAACAGGGTCCAGGGACTGTGAGACAGACTTCACATTGATATGAACGTTAAATCATTTGGAACAGGGTCCAGGGACTATGAGACAGACTTTACATTGATATGAATGTTAAATCATTTG